CCCTTTTTAAAGTACTTAAAAACGTCTAATAATTTTCTATAAACATATAAAACAACAACAAAATATTAATAATAATAATAATAATAAAACTAATATTATGAGCGCAACATTTTTTTTAGTAGTCATGAAAATTTCCAGCACTTGTTGTATTACATGTATGTATGTATGTCTCCTGTCAAGTATTGGCTGTGTTGGCGATCAATTCCTATGAAATATATATTTGTTAAGTGACATCACATAAAAGGATTTGCTTGTATTAAAAAAAGGCAACGGTGCTCTCGTGAAGGTCGACCACCACCACCACCACACACACACAACAAGCCATCCAGGGATAGGTATTGGGAGACAATTCAAATAATTGCTAAGCGAAAGCTGTACAGTATATAAGTTATATATATGTATGCATTGCATTGACTGACTGAGAGATGATTTTATTTTTCAATTTAATAATATTATATGTAAGACAAGGAAGAATTGAGTATTTAATGGCTTAACGTTTTTTTCATTTTTCATTTTGAAGAGAAAAAATAATAAATAAAAACATATCAAACATTGAATTGCATGAATGCTGTCAATTAAATGCTGTACCAAAGAGAGAGAGAGAGAGAGAGAGAGAGAGAGAGAGAAATTTAATGCACAAAATTGTTAACTAGTGTTAAGCCATATCTAAACGCAAGGTCTAAATCTTCATGTTTTTTCGTTACCAACAAAATATATAATATTGTTATCATTATTAGGTTTTTTTTAATTTTGTTGTTGTTTTCCAGTATATATTAGAGAAAAAAATAATAATTTCTCTCTCTCTCTCTCTCTCTCTCTCTCTCTCTCTCTCTCTCTCTCTCTCTCATTCTCTCTCTTATATTTAAAAACAATTTTCTCCAGTTTTCCGAATTATGACTTTTCTCACGAAACTTTAAATAATTATAAATACCGTAATCCGGATTAAAAGCGCATATTTCTCTCAATTAAATTCATCCAATGGTGGCTCTAAATGTTTTGTGTGTATGTGTTGTCTCATATTAGTATTATTTTTTTTTGTTATATTATTATTATATGTGTTTTTGTTGTTGACTTCTCTCTCTCTCTCTCTCTTTCTTTCTTTTTTTTATCGAAAATGAATATCTCGTTGGATTGAAAAAAAAAATCAAATATATTTATATATATAATGTAAATCTCTTATTACTCAATAATATGATAATATTTTGTTATGACTTATAAATGTCTGCAAAATGGACTGCCAATTGTTTATGTGTGCTCTTAAAAAAAACTAGCAATTATTCAAAGCATTTATAAGTTTATATTAATATATTTTTAGTTTTTATACAATTTTTGTTTGTTTTTTCCAAATACTCTCCAAGTATATTGAATTTATATATATATATAATGCATACTAATAAAATAGTTAAGAAATTATCGTACCGACAATATTGAGCTTATTTTATGGCATTAATTTTTTAAGACACCTTAAGATTTTAGGTAATAATTTTAAAATTTAGCATATATTAAATTTCCTAATATCCAAAATATTTTGCTATATCGTTGACTAAATTTTTGCATAAACTATTTATTATGTCTACATATCTCATATATATATATACAGTATATATATTTTATTCAATATATTATTTTATCAAATCGATATACACTGTAGATATGGATATAAATTTAAATATAGACATAAACTTTTAAACTCTTATGATTTTTTTCAAAATAATGACACAGTGAAATAAAAAAAACTAATCCATTAAAATATTTAATTAAGATCTAAATCATAATTACAATTAACTAGAAAACAATGGTATATAAAAAAATTGTCTGATATCTCTCAGCCCGTCATAAACTCAATCAGTAATATTCATATACAGTATATCTTATATAACATGAATTGCGAGTCAGATCTCTTAATCGCAAGCAATAACATCGCAAACGAGTTGTGCTGTTGTTTTTTGATGTTGTGGTAGTGGATGTAGTGTCGGCTCCATTGAGGGCAAGAGCGCCCTATTGGCACAGGCATTGGCACCATTGGCTTTCAAACTATGGATTTGCCACAAAAATCTGATGGATTACTCGTCAGAGAGAGAGAGAGAGAGAGAGAGAGAGAGAGAGAGAGAGAGAGAGAGAGAGAGAGAGAGAGAGAGAGAGAGAGAGAGAGAGAGAGAGAGAAGGCATACCAATTGGTATTTTGGCGATAAATTTAATGGCAAAATCATTGACCGCTTCCGTGCCATTTACAGGCATACAAAACATAATCACTGATTAACTTCACTTCAAATACAGTAATAATAATAACTACATAACAAATATATTTATAAAAAACAATCAATAAAAACACTGCATATATATAAACCAAAATTGTTTTCTCTGTACTCTAAACGAAAAGTATCTCAAAAATTTTTCGCCAAAAAATATCCGAAAATTTTCTCTAAAAAAACATCTCTCAAAATGCCTCTCCATATCTCATCTCTCTCTCTCTCTCTCTCTCTTCTCTCTCCAATTTCCTCTCTTTCTATATATATATATATATATATATATATATATATATATATATATCTATCTATCACTTGATTTAATAAAACATTATATTTCAACAGTGAATAAGTGTTGAATTTATTACACTTTAAACGGTTTTTAGTTTCAAGTAATTCAACAATTTATTAACGATTTTTTTTGGAAAAAATATATAAATCACTTAAATGCTTGGATTAGTTAAATAATAATAATAATGAAAAATAGTATTGTTTTTTAAATGCCTACAGTGGGAGAGGGAGAGAGAGATATGCAACAATCAAGTTATGCTGTGTGTGTGTGTGTGTATGTGTCTGGCATAGGAAGGGAACGGTAGTCCTTAAGAAAAGATCATAGGTTAAACATACTGAGCATTTGAATGAAGTGAAACATACAGCTAAATAAAACCCGAGGCGATAATGCATAAAAACGTTTATAAATATATGGATGCCTTTACTTAAAACGTTATATAACATCAAAAACAGTTGGTGGCTATGCATCCTAATATATACTGTATATTAGTTATATATAATATATATATGTATACTATATTTATATTATATATGTATATTCAAAACTCGGTTGGGTTTTGGACTCAAAAAAAATAAAAGAAAAAAGAGGAATAATTTAAAAGTATTAAAAAAAGGATATCATTATAACTATAATAATAATAAAACATCATTTGCCTAACAGTGTACACACACACACACACACTGTGGTTGACTACCTGTTCATATTTTGACAGCACGTTTTTTTAGAGTAAATATAGCAAATAAATTGGTTATAAATTGTATGTATATATATATAGAGGAGAGACCTCATTGTGCTCACATACACACACAATGTCTCCCTCAACAATTGTCCCACACATATACTGTTTATATGTCCATTGGCCCCACCGGTCATTATGACAAATATAATATTTATTATATATATAATAAAAAGAAGTTATCCTATCATTAAGTGAAAACATGCCATAAAAAACACAACTGTTTCGAGAGAGAATTGAAGTCAACCTCTCAAATGAAGTGCTCTGTTTTTAAATGGTGTGCAAAGTAGGACTTCTCTCTCTCTCTCTCTCTCTCTCTCTCTCTCTCTCTCTCTCTCTCTCAATTGAAGGTGGAAATGTGCCCAGGGCTATTAATAATGGTACTGTTTATATAGACATATTTATATATATATATATATATATATATGATGAGAGATAGATAGAGAGATGATCATATGGCCAGCCATTGAGCTTATGTATGACTGACTGGGCTTAATAATAATAATAGCGCCGTAATTACATTTCTCTCTCTCTCTCTCTCTCTCTCTCTCTCTCTCTCTCTCTTAATCATAGAGATATTTTTAACTTTACTTCTCATCACTAGAAATGACTTTTTCATATATGATATTAAAAAAAGATTTATAAGTTTGACTCAATTTAAAGAGTCACACACATAGCTAATTGTGCAACAAATTTCTATATACAGTATTATACTATATATATATATATAAATTTATATATACTGTAATATGATATACGTATGACAATTGCATAGCCATCTGACAGTTCCCCCCTTTCCATGAGATAACAAGCCTTTATTATCGGGTGGTTATTAAGCGCTGGTTTGAGAGCTGTGTGTATGTGTTTGTATTTAATGGTAACCCATTTACTGGCAGAAAAAAACTACATCATTTACAGCTATATGATCCGTGCATTGCGTTTTTCAATGCAAGTTTTATTAGTCAAAAAAAATAATAATAATAAAGTAATAAATGATAGGAAAGAGCCCGTAATATTGGCTGTTGCTTACACACTATACTGTATATTACTGGATAGGTATGAGCGCTAAATAAATTGTAATGCCAATGTTATTATTATTATTACTGTAGCTCTCAAAAAACAATTATAAACATATTAATCATTTTCAATATCCAATTTAATCACTAATTTGTGCGCTAAAAACAGCATATTTTATGCCCGAAAAAATAAAATGAATCATTTTTTTTACTTTACTTCTCAAACTCATCTATTAATAAATACTTTATATAATTTACTTTCAAACATAGAGAGATAGAAAAATAGACAACTGAGCGATCATCTCCCTATCCCAACATATATTGGTATGAAAAGCATTGTTATATATATTTTTTTGTTAACTGGAGTTAAATTAGGAACCAAACCGTTGTTGTAGTAGTTGTGGTCTCTTTTTTGTTTAAAAAAAAATCTCAAAGTTATGGACTAATTATATGCAGTTATTATTATTATTAGTATAATAAATATGAAATCCAAAAAAAATATTTGAAAATTATTTATAAATAGCATTTTTGAAAATGCAGTGATGCATATATATGTAGATTTTTTTGTTGTTGGTATGGCATGTAAAGCGTAGAGCTGGCAGAACATAGGCTTATAATATGTCACTTATGTGATGATGACTACAAGTGCGACATATACTGTATATACCGTATAATATAGTATAATATTATAATAAGTTAAGAGCTCATACCTAGCATTTTGCTGAGATCAGCGTTATGTAGGTCTGGATTTTCATCGGCCAGTCGTTTGCGTTCAGCTTTCGCCCAAACCATGAATGCATTCATCGGCCGTCGGATCCGTTGCTCGATTGCCATTTGATTAGCCGTTCCTCCGCCTCGACCGACACCCTTTCCCATTATATGATGATTGGCGCCCAGTTTGATGTTCATATGGTGTCCGTGAGGTGCACTCATAGCCAATTCGGCGGCGACACTCATATTTTGGTGGCCATAAAGACCTCCGTCTTGTTGTTCGCCGGCGTAGCACATGTCCTGATCTCTATGGTATGGCCAGTCAAGTGAGGCACCGGCACTGTCGCCAGTGTCCGAATACATATTGTAAACACTGGTAGGTGTTGAAGCATCAGTACTGTGTTGGCCTAAACTGTTAACCGATTTGGTGGGTGACAGTTGACTTAAGACATGGGATGATTGTTCACAGTGTGAATATGGCGAAGACATGGATGTCAGGCCACCAGTCGATGATCGGCCAGTTATATCGTTGGCCATCAACTCGAAAGCCGATGCCATCAAATAATTTTATAATTATAAAAAAATAAACTTTTCGGACAAAACAATTATATGATTTATATGGAGTTTTTTATTTAGTTATACAAAAAACTGTTAAAAACTTTTTTTATATAAAATATATTAATATATTAGTGGAGAAAATACCGCTGAAAAACAAACGTAAAGTTTTTTTTGGACACCAAATAAAAAAGTTATCAAAAGTTTTTTTCATACATTCACTCATTCCAGTGATTCATTTATAAGTGAAATAATTTGTGTGCAAAAAAACAGTTATATATTATATATATATTTATATATATAATACAAACATCTATTAAAACAACAGCAGCTTATGTATGTATGTTGTAATACCTGTACAAACACACACTCAATCGCACACACATACATATATGCCCACCAATGACTTACTGAACACTACAACAACTAATAGCACACAACAACACACACACACATACACAACACAAACACCACTTTACTTGACTTATAGACGTAGAGTAAAAGCGGACGTGTTTTACAACTTCAACAACGAGTCCACACAAAACCCATTGTAATGGTATGTACTGTATGTATGTATAAGAGTTTCTATGACACGCCTTTCACTGCTGCCATCCATTGATTTAACACATATTGTGTAACAAATGAACAATTGGTGATACAGTCTCTATGACTCTAAAAAAATATGATATGATATCACATATCAGAGATGATGATCCACACACACACACACACACACACACACACACAAACACACACACACTATCCCATACCCTAAAAACTCCATACACACACTCATACCTGTGCCGAGAGTCGACACTATTTTTTTTTGCAAAAGTATAGTTCAAAAAGCTTATACTTCACACAACTCGTCAAAAGTCACACAATTAGCCAAAATGTGTAATTTTCAAATCAATTACTCATGTGATGGACATATATGCTTAACTTATATATATACCTGTATATCTCGCATCCCATTCCCTTTAGATTTTTTCATTAGATTGCCATAACTGACAAACGGAAGTACCGGTGCGCGAAACCTCTTGTATTTTTGCTCTCTCTCTCTCTCTCTCTCTCTCTCTCTCTCCTAACTCACGAATTGTAGCCCAAAACTATCAAAAAGTCTTCAAACAAAATCTAAAAAATAAAATATTAAAGTTTTATGTTTTCCCAAATTGAATACTTCAATATAAAACTCATTCATTTAATAATAAATATGATTTTTATTTTTAATGACATTATTCTACAGGTAGTACTGTATATATATTAATACAGTATATACTGTACACCGACTTATTACTGTATTATAAAAATTTTAATAATAAATTTTATATTAATAATATCAGTACTCAAATTCATTTATCATTATAAACTGTTCCCTCACTGTATGACATTTATTTTAGTAGTTATTTTTATATATATTTCATATGAATACATTTGTATTAAAGTGTGTATTTTCTGTGATTATAATAAAAATTATAATAATAATAATAATAATAATATCAATTTAAAATCATAGCACATAATTAATTATATCCGACTTACTATATTTAGAAAAATAATAATAATAATTTTTTTATAATTGATATTTTAATTTATATCTAATTTTATTTAGTTGAATGAAATTAAGTAATTTTTTCTCTGACTGAGTGTTGTATATATACAGTATATATATTTTTGGATATGTAGTTCATGACAATTATAATTTGTTATAATTATAAACACACACACATTTTATCTCTCATCTAAACTTCTAAACTCTAATAGTAAATAGTTAATGTTGTTGTTATTATTATTATTATTATTTGTGACTTTTTTTAATAGTATAATATAAGAGAGTAGAGTAGGCATTGGATTATGTAATTTCAAATCTAACTGTATATATATACTGTATATATATTGTACAAACATATATAGACAGTGAGACACGCAAATGATGATCACTTATTTGTTTGTTAATTAACAAGAAATATGAGTTTAATTTAAAAGACGACTACTAATTATCAATGCTCTCTCTCTCTCTCTCTCTCTCTCTCTCTCTCTCTCTCTCTCTCTCTCTCTCTCTCTCTCTCTCTCTCTCTCTCTCTACTCTACTCTACTCTACTCTATGGGAATGTTTTGGACTAGAAATTAGTTAATCTATTACTCGTCATAAGCATTTTTTCAGATAAATATTAATTATATTATATATATATATACAGTATATGACTACACTATTATATAAAAAATAAATAATAATATTTGATTTACTCAATCAATTCCACTTCACTCCTATGAGAGTTAATGACTATCTATCCCTATCAGTCTATTTAGTTATTTATTTATTTATTAAAGTATTAAAAAGTATTTGAAATAACATGAAATCTGTCTGATAAATGTCATAATTATATCGTAATTGGAAAACAATTAAATGTTTAACTAGCGATAAAATGCCATATTGTTTGCCCCAATCATTGAGAAAAGACAACCTCATTGTATAAGCACTTGACTTTCAAGTGTGGCTTTTTGTCTGAGAGGCCTAAAAACACATCAAAAAAACATCTTTTTATTAGTAGTCTCCAGATATCACTTAATACTTTGGCTACAAATCTTGAGATTTAAGATTAATTAGAGATTTTGTAAATACAGAGTATATTATTATTAATATATATTTAAATTACAGATTGTTTTAGTATTTATTTTATAAGAATATTCTAAAATATTGTTTATTATATTTTTTATAATTCAATATTAATTTATAAAATCTTAATTATTATGAGGTGTTATATTATAAAATTGTTGCCAATATTATACTGATATTTTACTGATTTTTTGTATATATTAATAACTTATACTTAATGTCTTAAATAGAATTTTATGAATAATACAACTAATACAGTAATATGATATGATAATGATAAAAATAGCAATTATAATAACAATGTAATTAAAATTAGCTTGAGTACTTAACTATACTGTATTTTATATATATATAAAAATCATTGCCCTTTTATTATTTGATTATCAAAACTCCTACATTGCAATATACACTGAATTGTTGTACATTGGATATGGGATACTAGTCTATCAGTAAATCATTGGTACCCCCCATTGTCCAATAATTTTTTAAAAATAATTTTTTAATGTTATATAAATATCAATGATCTTGTTTACTTAATCCTATATATAATTTATATATATATAAATTACATTTGTCTGATAAAAATTACTAATTATAATCGTGTTTCACAAATATGTATACACAGTGTTTGACAAGATTTTTGTTGTTGTTGTTACTATTATTATAAACATGTAATAGTTATTATATTTATTGATATGTTCAAGTACAATAATGTAATATTTACATATTATCTATATTCTGGTAAAAATTTTAATTAATGTTTATGAAATGTACTGTATTATACAATTATGTATTTTAATAATTTATATTTTTTAAAAAAAACTATATATCATATAATATGATTTTCATACGATATAAATTAGAAAATCATTAAAAGTAATTAATCTTTTAAATTTTTTTACTTAATTAATCTGTATAATTAATTATTTATTAATTTTAATAGTTTTTTGATATTATTTTATGGTATAAATGAATAATTTGTTTATTAAGTTTAAAGATTTTTAAAATTTTATTTTTGTTTTGTTTAACATTTTATAAATTATTTACAAAATACAAAAATAGAAACACAATTTACCCAATTTTATGCAAAATATTAAATAATAGTTTTTATTTGTTTGTTTGTTTGTGATTTGCTAATTAACTTTTATCTTTTATTTTGACATATCTTTTCTAAACGATACTCATTAGTTGGAAAATTTGTGGTTAAAAATGCGTTGAAAATATTGATTAAATTATTAGGTTTTAATAATAATATTATAATAAATATGAGAAAAGAGAGAAAAAATATGTGTTAAATATATCCCTTTTAAGAAAAATCGAAAACACAATTCACGATTCAATACTAATTTTTTGTGTGTATATTATAAGCAATTATTTAGTATCGGAAAAATATTACTAAACTTCTCTCTCTCTCTCTCTCTCTCTCTCTCTCTCTCTCTCTCTCTCTCATTTAATAACTCTATAGTTAACGGCAATAAATATGTGTATAATTCGTGGCCATCACTAATATCACCATCTATTTTGACATTTTATTATCAGTCAATGAATAATGGATATCAAATTAACTTAAAAACACGATTTTTATTAATAGCCCGAGGGGGCACCCCGGCTGTCACACTCACTTTAGCTTTTTATTTATACTGCCCCCTTATCTTAACTGATAATATATAATAAATATATATATATATTTGTTAACAACGTATTTATATAGTTAATCAAATAAAATAAATAAATAATAAAATAATAATAAAAACTTTTAAATTACAATATTTAACGCAAACTCATCTTTATTTATGTTAATTAAATTATTTTTTTATTACACAAATACCCTCAGATATCAGATTTACTTGTACTTACAAATTGAGTGCTAATTTTATTTAATAATAATAATAATAATCATTTTGGGTATGAAATTGTTTCCTATTATTTAAAATAAAAAAGAAACAAAAATTAGTATTTAATTAAAAATTTTGATTACTATTTAGTTTTGTAAAAATAAATATTTATAACAAAATTGAATGAATGATTACATAATTTTATTTATAGTTTGTATAGTAATGTATTTTTTATATATACCGTATATAATATATAGAAAAGTTTTTTTTTATTTGTTTGAAAAATTTATTTGCATAAAACAACACAACTTTTTTCATTCAAGTAAAATAATATTTTAGTTCAACAAACAAAACAGTTGATGCAAATGACGGGTCCAGTGGTGGTCTCCCTAACATTGTATGTGTTTGTGTGATATAACCCGATATTAATCTTCAAAATACTTATTATTAAAAAAATATTATTTAATATATCTATTTGTTTATACAGAGAGAAAAAAAGTTTGTTATGAAAACATTAATTAAAAGAAAATTATTTTTTATTATTATTATTATTTGCTTTACTTGAGAGCTGGAAGTCGAAGGTCTGCAACACCTGTCGATTGTGTCTTACGGCACAAAACAGGTGTAAAACTTGTTTTATAAATATTATAACTCATATATAACTAATAAAAGTTATATATGATATATAACTATAATATAAAGTATAATAAAACATTTTTTAAAAGCCTTATAAAATGCCAAACTTTATTTTTCTTTATAAGTCAGATTAATTAATATAAAATTAATATTAATTTATTTATAATGAACATTATAATTATTTATAAATAATTACATTTATTATCGTAATTAATAAAAACTTTCTAGAAATAAAAAATTATTAAAATATTATAAATTTTTTAGAAAATAAATTCAGACACTTTTGCTATAATATTAATAATTTTTTATTTATTTATTTATTATTTTATAGTATAAAATATTTAATTAATAATATTTTATTTATTACTCTGTTTTTATTGTTTGAAAAACTACTTTTAAAAATAGCAAACTTTTATTTTTCAAAAATTTTTCTAAATAATTACAAATCTAAAAAACATACAATTATTACATGTTTTATAATAATAATTATTATTATTTTAAAATAAACATGTAATTGCAAAAAATAACTTATATCTATCTATCTGTGCCTAATATATTGAATTATGCATATAAATAAAAATACAGTTAAACCTATAAACACATATACAGTATATAAGTACTGTATAATATTGTATAATATATATTATATAAATATAAATCAATTGCAAGTGATATTTAAATATTTAATTAATAAACATGATGATTATTTATTTTATTTTTTATTTATAAAAAAATAATCATCCCAACTAATCGTGTTTGTATAAATCATGATTTAATTTTTTGTTTGTTTATTTATTTCTATGTTTGTATGTATGTATTTATGAATTACAATAATTTTTCAAATTAAGTTTCAAATGTGATTTTTTTTATTATTTTACTATTTTGACTTTTTTTTCTCTCAGACATATTTTTATAAATATTTAAAACTATAAACTATACACATATTTGTTATGCAAACAAAAAACAACATCATCTCTCTCTCTCTCTCTCTCTCTCTCTCTCTCTCTATTTGATCTTATCTCTCAATAATAGTATTTAAAAAATGTTTTTTTACTTCAAGTAACTTATTAAAAAATTTGCCCGGTTCCCATCATATATTACTCACATACCGTACCTCAAACACACACACACACACACACTACATGTATACTTATAGAGTAATATATAGTAAAATTGCAATAATATTTCATCTATTGGATCAAATATGTTGTAATTTTTGTGTGTCTGCTCATCAAGTAGTAAATCATTACAAAATAGTTTATAAAAAATAATATGTTGAGTATTTTTTCTAAGTATTTAAGTGTCAAAATAGTGCAAAACACTTGATATTTGAGTGAAAAAAAACTTTTTATTTTTTTTGTAATAAGTAAACAAAATTATTTCATTACTTTTTGAAAAAATTTTTTGTTGCAAAAACTTTTTTTTCTGATACTGTATATTGAATACTACACTACATATATATTAAAGTAATATTTATATATAAATAATAATAATTTGTTGAAAACATATATTGATTATAACATTGGGACTAAAAATTTAATCATAAAAAAAGTTGAGGCATTTCTTTAATTATATATAACTTATTTGGTTGTCTCTATACCTATGTGTTTGTGTGTGTGTATATTATTGTTACTGTTAGCGCACTGTTAGGCCGTGTAAGCGCTGGTTAGCTGTATATGCCGTATATATATGTTTGAGATCGTGTGAACTTTTTAAGTCCATTAGTTTTCTGTTAGATAATAATGTATTGTTAGGTTTGTGTACAAAAAAACATATATAGATATGTGTTTGGAAGCGATGAGATATACGACTTTTTGGTCCACAAATTGGTTTTAAGTAATTATTGTTTATTTCAGTTCATTATATGATTTTTTTTCTCTATCTCTACCATTCGGTTAGCCCTTTGAAAGGTTGTCTCACTCTTTTACGCTGTGTGTGTGTCGGCGTCGGCTAATACTTTAATAGCCAATATAAAGCTAAGAGACTGTGTGTGTGTTTGTGTTGAGTCCTCCATACCTATGGATCTATGAGGCCATCATTTTTTTCTTGTTGTTTGCTGTTATGTGTCTCACTATTAAGTCAGGCATATCTGGCAATATGTGCTCTAAATTATAGCCTTTCCATAAGTTCAAACTGTTATACGGCTCGGAAACACATTATTTTATGGCATTGCCTACAACTTTGAGCACCATTAGCTCACTGTCTATCTATTTCTCTCTCTCTCTTTCTCTCTCTCTCTTTCTCTCTCTCTCTTTCTTTCTTTCTCTCTCTCTCTCTCTTTCTCTCTCTCTTTCTTTCTTTCTTTCTCTTTCTCAAAGCATACCAAACATCTCATCCAAGCCTTTGATTGCTAAGACTCAAACCGTGAAGAAGATGGGCATAAATTTATTGTCATTACTTATAAGCAAATTCAATGGCATAACATTGGCGCTGGTATACCAGCAGGTGAAAAGCCAGTTAGCTGTAGGCCATTCCCCAATATTCATATTTCATAACATATTGTTTATGTGTCGCAACCCTTGCAGAGAGTAAACATAGATAGATATATAATATATTAATAATATAGAAATATATAATTGTTTGCATAACTTTGCCAATGATGGCCAGGTATGCGCACCTAAACGGGTATTGTTAAGTTTTTTTGTATATCAATATATGGAAGGAAATTACTAGAAATTTACTCTCCAATAATGATCACTTTTAAACATTGTGACCATTAAAGTTGTATTTTTAAAATAAATAAATATATATATATAAAGAAATAACATTTTTTTTGTTGTTCTTGGATAGCAATTAGGAAATTATAGTAAAGTTTAGACCAACAACAAAAAATTCAACAATTTTAAGTCAAACTTAATGGTATTTTTTATTGACTTTCATCACATTGAATAAAAAAAATATAATTTTTTATATACAGTATATATATATATATATTTATTCAAACAAATGAATTGCAAAAAAAACAAGTTTCGCTTTAAAGGAATCGATTTAAATGATCAATGAATTGATTTGATGGCAACTTTGACAACATTTAATTAAATCCCACCATTGATTTGACAGTTATTTTCAAATTAGCAATTTATTTGAATCAAATGAATATATTATTATTTAAATAGGCATTAAATTTTTTACAATTTTATTACACATGTTTTATTAAATAAAATTATTTGAACAAAATTTTTATCTAATAATTTTTGAATATTTATATGAAATGAAAATTAAATAAAGAAAAAAAACTAAAATAAATGAATAAATAAAATGATAAAATTCTTAGCTGTTTAAGAATTGCAAAATTATTTCAAAAAATATTTTGTGAAAATAATTTATTATGCATAATAAATATAAATAAATTTACGATATTAATTATATCACGTTTGAATACCAAATTAAACCCAGTGCTGGGCTCAGGTATTTAATTTTGTTTGTTTTTTTAAATTTATAAAACATAGTATAAACTATAAAGACTGCTATACTTATGACATCTCTATATAGTAGATATCATTACAGCAATAAAAAAAATTTAAATATATTTTTATATCAATAATTTTACATATTTTAAGTCAATTTCAAATGAATTCATTAATAAATTCATTAATAAATTCATTAATAAAAATGAATTCTAAATTTATAGTAAAATTTCACGTATTTAATCTATTAGAAACTTACTGTTATTATATATTTTTATGTTTTAAAAATTTATAATACATAAAAACATAATCTAGTTTATCAAATAAAATTTAAAGCAATATATATATATATATATATATATTGGTAATCATTTTTTAAACTATTAATAAATACCATGAATCATACAATATAGTTATAAAAATATTTAAAAGTAAAATCAAAAATAAATATCCATTTTCTGTCAATGTTTGCGTCCAATAAATGTCGGTAAATGTTTTATAGATATTGAAGACATTGATGAGATAAATGATTTTGAAAATACCGGTAATTGAATATTAGATTCAATTAAAAAACTCATCTAGGTGCAATTATTAAATAGTCATATTTTACTATAAATTTATTCAAAAAATTCTACATGGAGAATAAATTGAAATAAAAATAGTATTATATACCAATTTTTTTTGCATATATTTTATAAATATTAAAAAAAATTAAATAATCAATTAAATCTTAATTATAAAAATTTATTAATAACCACAATATCATAATTTATAAAATAAAATCTAATTTTTCTAATTATCAAAAATTTGTGTATAAAAACTTATATATTTTTATATTTATATACATATTTGGTAGCAATTTATTGTTGTTTTTTAGGATTACGTAAATTAACAATTTTGACATAATTGGCGGGAATCAGACCAAAACTTTTGCCGTCAATTGTGGCCAACAGCCAACCTCTTACTCTCGGCTGTAAATCTAATAAATAATATAAAACAACAAAATTATCAGATAATTACCGTTAGGTTCAACTAATTTCTAAATTATAAAACTAAGGGCTAACTAATACTACCGTACCTTTGGGTGCAACTCTAAGTCTCTGTCCGACAGTGAACGCCAACTCGCCATTCAATTCGGTACGAAAATCGTAGAGAGCTATTGCCTCGTAGTGTTCATCTTCGCCGGTCAACCATTTGTCCGATGCTATCAAAAATTCAAATCATTAATGAATACAACAACAAACACACCATTAATTTTGTTACATTAATTCAGTAATAGAAGACTATGTCATCAAATAATTAATACCTGGTTTAGGAGTTCCGGTAATAGTCGACAATAATTTCCATATAAGCCAAGGCATACCGAGAATTGTACTGAAAAATACAACGACCGGCCAAACAGAGTGACCACTTGTGGCCAACTCTGATGGCGAGTCATTGATGGCATTGAAAGTTCCGTCGGCTCTCAGATGGTTTGCAATTGAGTTTGTGTTATCGCCGAAAGCCTGACTCCAAGCTCTTTCAGTGCTGTCGTCGCCGCTGCCGTTGGCAGCAAAGACACGGACGCCAAACAACTGCAAAAATCTTCTGATAATCCATTTGAGTGTCCGAATGATGGCCAGAGCCGATACAATTTGTGACAAATGTTGGCGCACACGCGTCATATGATCGGCGACACCGACAATAGCGCGAAACGAGTTGTGGACAGCAAAGTATGTCGACTCCAACATCATCGATACCGAAGCAAACGCCTGGACTATCGACTCAATCGATTGGAAGGCCGGACGACAACTTTCATCGGCTATTCTCGTGATATCGCTTTCGCCGAAACTGTTGTTGTTGTTGCCAAAGAAGTGGCCATTGAATCTATTAAAACCAAAACCCGATAACGGATTCAATTGATTTGAATAGAGTGACGACGGATAACCAGAATACTGTGTCCCGAAGTTGCCGTAAGAATTGCCAAAATAGGGTTGTCTGTTGAACAGTGAATTAGTTTCATTTGGACGCGGAGGTAGTGGCGGTACTGCCGACGGGTGCGGAGTCGCAGCTGATCCTCCAGTCGGTGGTGGCCTCAAAAACGGCGGCGAATGACCAGCGAGAATGTCGCCAACCGATGACGGATGGCTTTGATTGTAATTTCGGTTTGAATTGTTGTTTGAATACATTTTTGTTGTCCTATCGGACCACTGAATGTCGGTATTTATCACTGCATTTGATCCACAAAAACAACAACAAATGGGTCAACAATTGGTTTGCTGTCAACACATCAATCACTGACTAAATGACTGCAAAAAACCCAAACATTTTGTATATAATATAAAAACAAATATAAAAAAACAAATTACGTGACAATCAGTGAATCAGTTTATTGGACAGTAAAGATCGGTTGCGGTAAACTAGTGGTCAGATTAACAATGATAACAATCGGTCGGTTAGTTAAGTCAGTCGTGACCAGTCGGATACTGACCAGTAATCGGCGATCGGTGGCCAATATCGGGACACATGTCGATCATATGCTTTTGCAATCGTTATTCATTTATAATGAAAACATAATATATTTTTTTATTTACAAAAAGCTTGAAAACTGTGCGAAGCTTTTTAAAGGGTCGACCAATTGGTGCCTAAAAATGGCTTAACTAAGTGTTTCAGACAAATAGTTATATTATATTTTTATTGTAAATAAATATTTTAATCAAAAATTTTTTATTATTATATAATATTAAACATAACTTTTTTTTGTTAATAATTATCATAATTAAAATCATCGAAAATTGTTTTCCATATGTTTTTTTATACAATAATTTAATAATTATTATAAATTATTTAAATTGTTTGATACCTGTAGTGAGTTAAGCCCTTTAGAAATTCTAAACAAAATTTTAGACATAAATAATGTAAATTTGAATCGAAAGGCAAGTGTTGTTATAATAGAAGTGTTTGTCAATAGAGTTGTGATTATATTGATTGCAACATAAGTTTTGGGGTCCGACTTGACTCCAGACGTATCTATGATTTTTGTTTTAATAGGAGAAGCGCTGATCAGCTTTACGACTGTTCACAACAAATATATATACGAATCGATGGGCAAAATGGATGTCTTTATGGTTAGTGGATGTGCTGATGACATGACGACGACTGGATGTTCATCACTACATCGGGCGATGCGTGTTGTTGTTGTGATGATGGACAGGGATGCGATGACCGGACTGGCCTCACACTTAGTCGTCGGGCGCCTACATTTCTAACTACATGTGCGACAAACAAACAATTAAAAAGATGATTACATTTAAAATCAAACGATGTATTGATTTGTTTTTTTCTCTCTTTCTCTGTGTTGTTATCTCTCTCTATCTCAATGTGTTAATTAGTATCGAAAAATAACTAAATGATAACTTAAAATGCAATCATAATCTAGTCATTGACAACAATCATATATAATATGTGTGTTGAAGACAACAATAATTAATTAAATAGTCAATGAATTGGTTTTTTAAAAGTCAAAACAGTGTAGTATTTATTTTTTTCTGTGCCATACATACTCTTATAAAATAAGATTTGAAAATTAATTTTTCTCAATAATAATAATAATAAATAAAATAAAATAAGTTGTGTTAAAAACTAATAAAGCGTTGGCCGACAAGTGGTGGACCAGTTGAATGGCAAGCAAGCAATGACTGGCGACAAGATTGAGGTCCAGATAGAGAGCTCATCCAATGTTAGCCAAAGCGATGCTCCGGCCAGTGATAACAGTGTCTATAGTGTACACCAATCGCAACAACAGTCGCCCCAACAGACACTGCAGACCAGCCAACAGCAGATGAATGGCAACAACAACGATAGGGCCAACAATCAGACAAACAACCAAAACAAGTCGTGTTGTTTTTGCTGGTGCTGTTGCTGTTCCTGCTCATGGTTTGTCATCATCATTGATATTACCATTAATTTTAGTAGTAGTAGTAATAGTAGTATCATCCATTAACCTATTGATTATTTCACCGATAGATGCAATACCCTATTATTATTATTATTATTATTATTACTACTACTAATACTATTCATTATTGATTATCATTATTATATATATAATTATTATATTTACCGTTAATAGTAGTTAAAAAAACAATATTTTTGATGTTCATTATTGGCAAACATTTGCATTGCTAATGATTACCATTATATTATTATTATTATTATTACCATTAATATGATATATCCCTAATTAGTTACATATATCCATGTATATACATGTAGACTCTACATTGTAGAGTATATTACTGTAATTGTTTTCATTATTATATAATTATATATTATATGATTGTTATTATAATAATTGAATATAGATACTTGATCAATATTAGTTTGAATAATAATTTTTTTAAATAGATTTTATTACAAAAAAATAAATATTATAATAATAATAATAATAATAAGTTTAAGTATATTGATATATTGAGTATACTGTATATTGAAATTTAATTGAAATTTAATTGATTTTTATGATTTTTGTTTTTTATGTTTTCGATTTTCTCTCAAATCCTTAAAAAAAACTAAACCAACAGTTTATCGGTTAAAAATCATAACAAATCAAAGGAGAATAAATCACTGCAAATGTCATCAATTGAGCACTATTTCAATGGCGATTCCGATCCTCCGTAAGTGATCCCAAAAAAAATAAATAAATTTAATTTTTAAAAAAATAATTAAATTAATTGGTTTTCAAATATTTATTTCTCCAAACAAACAAACAAAATTAGACCCACATTAGATGATATGCGTTGTTGGGGTGAATCATTTGATAAGCTTATGAAATGTTCAGGTAAATCACATATATATATATATATGAATTGAATTAGTTGTATTAATTTAGTTATAAATAATTTTTATTGAAATTTATTAATTAATTATCATAATAGCCGGCCGTAAAGTATTTCGTGATTTCCTAAAATGTGAATACAGTGAAGAAAATATATTATTTTGGTTGGCCTGTGAGGACCTCAAGAAGGAATCCAATCCAGAAGTTATCGAAGAAAAAGCACGCCTTATATATGAAGACTATATATCTATATTATCGCCCAAAGAAGTAATATTATTATTATTTTACCATTTATTGTATTATTAATATTATTGTATTTGCATTATCTTTATTTTTAGGTAAGTTTAGATTCACGGGTTAGGGAGATAATCAATAAAAATATGGTTGAACCAAGTCCTCACACATTTGACGAGGCACAGCTCCAGATCTATACATTGATGCACCGGGACTCTTACCCGCGTTTCATAAACTCTCAAACATACCGAAAATTAGCACAATTACCTTCCCCGACACGTAAGGGAAGTGCGGCCTAAAAATATAATAATAATAGTAATTTTGGGATAGGATTAACCAATTTTATTGGTTGGTTTTATTTTTTTTCTATATAAATACATTTCTATTAAATAACATCATTACATCATTGATTACATATTATATCAACCGTTTTACGGAAAAATTGTGTTTTTTTWAAATTGTCATTTCTTTCATTTTAAAGACAATAATTTTATGTGCAATTAATTCGACGCTTTAATCCATGTGTTTTCTAGTGATTTAAATCTAAAATAATTTTTGAAACATAACCACAAAAACAACAACAATAACAAGCAATTATTTACTGAAGTTTTATTGTATATTTAGGAGTCTTTTTAGGAAATCATTTATATATATATATATATGAAAAAATTGTTAATTGGTTTGAATCGCAAGTCAAATATCAATTGACTGATTGATACAAACAAACATAAAAATCGACACATTTTCTGGATGTGACAACTGATTTCATTATTGACTTTATATATATATATATATATTTCTGTGGTATTCAAAAGCAACTAATAAATCCAAATATCAGCTCAACATCTCATCATTATAATGGCAACACAAATACACACAACAAAAACAATTGTTCAACAATTGTGATCAAAAAAGACATTTTTAACACAATATAGATAATAATAATTGGTTTTAAAAAATAATATAATAATGTCTATTGTTATTATATTATACYTAATAATTAATTTGTATTATTATTATTATTAAGTTTAAATTGCATTTTTAAATTTATTATTATTATTATTGTTTTTATAAAGCATTTACAATGACCAAAGAGTTTACTTATAAAGTATTTAATGGTTATTATTATTATTATATTTATTATAAATTTATTATTGTTAATGTTATTTATTTTTTGATTTTAATTTTATTTAATGTTATACTTTTATTTTGTTGTTATTAATTAATTWATTTATTTATTTAATTTTATTATTAGTAAATATTTATATATATATATATATACATAAATAGTTTTTATTATTATTATTATAAGAAATACAATTGTATAAAACAAAAATATATGTCAATTAGTTTTTATTGTAATTACTTAATAACACGATAAATGATGATTTGACGACAAGACTCAAAATACAATTGACTCAAATCAAGACAAAACCTGCCCTTTAGTCCAATTAATTAATTATAACTAAAAATTTAAATAATCAACTGTTTTATTATTGAAGAAATTGTTTTTTTTATTTTTTCTCTTAATCGAGATTCTCACTTATCGTCAACTCTTTTTCTATCTATCAGCTCATCCATACCAAAGACAAGTCATTAAAAAAATAAAATTGATAAAAGCAAACAAAATCACACATTTGGTCAATAAAAAATCACACCCACACACACACACACACCACCACCACTACACCATCAAACAATTGGGAACAATTGTAAATTCTTACTTCAATATATATATAGTAGATAAATAAAATTTTAATAATAATACTAATAATTTTAAATATGATTATACAATAACAACAACAACAAAATTGATAAACAATTTCATGACCACATATACTGATCAACAATTTTTTTTCTCCACAAAAAAAACTTCTGTGATTTGTGTAATAAAAACGGACAAAACATTGGACCCAATGTTTGTTTAGATTTATATCATATATGTATATGATTTTAAAGCAATTACAATAATACTAATTATATTTATGGAAAAATACAACCAAAAAAAATCATTTGTAGCTTATATTGAAATTAAAACTTCCCTCTATTTGTTTTTTAATTATAATTGTTGCATAAACTATATATATATATTGTTGTTAAACATTTTAGACCACCACTAACAACAACAACAATAACTACAAGTAATTATCAAATGTCTTGCATTTTTGATTGATTGGGCATTTAATTACTTAAAAAAAATTATAGTAAATAACAAACTTTATATATCGATTGTACTGTAAAATTCATTACACAAAGATTCATCAAAAAAAATTTTGTTATCTAATAAATATTTAATAATGAATGATATATAAAAATAATAAATTAATATAAATATATATATATATATATATATATATATAATAACGATTGTATCAAATATTTTAAAAGATAATTAAGGCTCAAATTTCATTGACATTAATTAATTAAGACACCAAAATGATAAAAAAACAAAAACATTTTTCTGTATTATATATAAACAAATATATATATATATATATATAATTATAAATAATGTTTAATTTACATTGTTTGCAATATATTAATATAAAATATTTAAGTTTAAAAAATAATAACATAAAAGTGTTTTTTCAATATATGTTTTGATTATTTTATTTATTCTATTGTATTCCATATATACTGTACACATACACACACACAGTATATACTCTATATATTGTTGAAATCACTGCAAAAACAGTCTAAAAATTTTTTATCATTGGATTTCAATTGAATGCAATTTCAACACAACAAAAGGTATAGTATATATACAGTATAAGTACAATAATCAGTGATCCAGTGATTTGAACGGTTCACTTGTGATTGCCATCAATTGTGCCATCAATTTTCACTATATATCTATCTATTGCTATATTGTCTATTTACCATTAATTTTTCTTTGTGTGTTACCTAGATGTACATTCACACATAGTACCTAGGGAGTATTACTCATATATATATAAATTTATACTGTTTTGTAAATTTATGTACTGGTACATAATGGCAATACCTATTTTTTGGTGGAAAACCCATTTAGATATATACTATAGATATGGTTGACTATGAATTTGGTCAATCACTCTCAATGTCTTTTATATCTCAAGTTGATATATTAGATGGACCACCACCTGATTAGGTGATAGTAGCTAATGGTGTCCACACAAACACACCAATAACAAATTCAATCATATGTGATGTATGGGATGTCCAAAAAAAATTTAGGGGTAATAAAATTAAGTTTATAAATAAATATATATATATTTTTTGGTAAATTAACAATAAAAAATTTTAAACAAAATTGCAACTAAATGGGTGTTTTTATAACACACAAACATAATATTTTTGTGTGACAAAAATGTTTTTACCTATGGTTTAATAGTTTTAATGTACTTTACAGTAGATAATAATAATATACTGACTGTGTGTTTGATAGACTCAAAAAAATATTAAGTTTTCTAATATAATTTTCTTTGTACTCACAAAATGTTTTTTTCTTTAACAATTGCATAGTCATTGACATTTTTGGCTAGATTTTGGGCTTACACTGTATTTATATGCAATATTATACAGATATATATATATATAAGGTATTGAATATGTTTTTAGTGTATGTATTTAATATATCTAACCTTAATATAACCTTAAAATATATATATTTTATTTCAGATAATAGGCGTCTATATACCTGACATTTAAATGCACTAAATTTTATTTTACGAGTCTCTCTCTCTCTCTCTCTTTATCTCTCATTCATTCATTGACAATATTTTTACAGTACTTCAAGCGGCTCTATATTGAAATTGAAATTAGCTTTTTTAGTATTAAACTGTTTTATGTTGTTGTTGTAAATATAAACCTATTTGAATAAAGTATTTAATATATATATAATATATTTTTTAAAATAATGAATATTTATGATAATCACTGCATTATAATGTGTACATATCTATCATAAATCTCTATTATTCATGGCTACAGTTGAATTTAGTTTTAAAAACTATTTTAATGGGTAAAACTAGATTATATTATATATATATATATATATATATATATAATCTAAATGCTAAAAATTATAGATTCACTATAGTTTCGGGATATTTGCATACAAACAGATATAAATGAAACGCAACTCATATTATAATAATGCGATATATAATACATAACAATAAACATAATACAGTACTTTTAATAATTTAAATAATATTATACGATATAAAACTTACATATACAGTATAGATATTGTATAATATTGTTATCCATTTAATTTTAGTATTAAGTTATTTAACACAAATGGTTGATCTAAAACTTAATTAATAAATTAACTAATACTTTGACATTATTTTACAATCAAAAACATAATAACCTAGTATAACATACATGTTTATTATTGATACACATTTACAATATACACGTGTGTCTAAAAAAATGAAAGTACAATACATATCAAACCAGTGTATGAAAACCAGTGTCGACACTACTGATAAAATTGTTTAGATATATATTAATATATTGTATATGTATGTAATATAAAGTAAGAAAAAAACTTATGGATTCACTACTAAACCACTATTTACTAAAACACTTTACAATTATCATTATCATTGCCATTTCAATTTAGTGGTAAAACATGATTATTATTATAAAAAAATGTGTACTAAAAGATTCATTGTGTTTATACACAAAAATGAGTTGTATTTCCGGATTTTCCGTTTAAAAAAAAAATTCTCTCCTAAAACAAGAAATGAATCGACAAATTAAAGGACATCCAGAAAACAGGTATTAATAATAATAATGTGTATATAAAAGTGGTATTGAAAAAATAGTGTACCAGAAATTTTTAGACAATAAGCCACTTTCTCTCTCTCTCTCTCCCATTCCCCCCCTTTAAACAATCTATCGATATTATATGTACACACAATTATTATTATTAAATGTATACCAGTTTGGCGAGTCCTGGTGTTTATACACCACCACCACCACCACCACTACCAGTGTCTAGTATAGTCTACCGGTCTTTTTTCCTCAATGTTTTTGGCGAAAAACTTGTTTGACAGCCGAAAAACATTATATACAATATTATACATATATTTTCCTTTCTCTGTTGTGTTAGAAAAACTCATTTTAATAGTCTGTGTGTTTCAAATAATTTTTCACTTTTAAGCAAAAAGACACTTTCAATTTCAAAGCGACAATCATAAAATCATTTTAATTTTTTTTAACTATATATATAATAATAATAATAATAATAAAATTATTAGTATTTGTTTTGTTGTGCGAGAGAAACCAAATTAACATAATTTTTTCTGGTGTTATATCTGTGACGTCTGTGTTATGTATTAATTATGTGTAGAGTTTGTGGTCAATAAATATCAATAGTTAAATATATATATATATATATATATTACCTGTATATACATTATGTCTGTATTATACAGGTATATACACTGTATATGATATAGCCATTTGTGTGTAACTTTATATATATATATATGATATATCAATATTAATAATAATACTAATAATAGTCATTGTTTTATTTTACAATAGTGATACAATTATTGTGTATTTGAATATTAATAATAATAATAATCCTTTTATATTAGATTAAAATCGTTGATTATTTTCTTTCCTAAAAAAATATTTTATGAAGACATCGATATTCATCAGCAACTTGTTTAAGGCAATGGAAGTCCTCCTGTCAAGAGTTTATGTGTGATATGATAAGGCATTGCATTTGCTTTTATCTTCAAATATATTGAAAGCAATTTTTTTTATTTAAAAAAAGGCAATGAACTTATAATACAGCAAATGGTATAAATAAATGTATTTATATTTATATAAACCGTCGATGTCATCGATGACTAAAAAATATAAAGATTTTGTTTGTTTTGTTTATATACTGTATATAATTTATATAATATTTTCATAAATCAGTCATATTTTTCTACTTAAATATATAGTTATTTGCAATTTAATCGATTGCTAGAAGTTTTCATAAGTTTAGAAAAAAACACAATCATTATTATTATTGAAAGTCAAAATAATTTACATTCATATGTGATAATCATTGAAATCCATATAAGTTATGAAAAAATATATAAATTACTATATATTTGTTGCAAATTATTTAAATTCAATTTTAAAATTTAATTACTTTTTATAATAATAATAATAATCATGTTTTTCAAAAAACGTCATGTGTTTTTCCTTTTAAACTTTATTTAAGTTTTCAATACACATACACAAACACATTCATTATAGTCATTATAATTTTTGTTTTTCATTTTTCACATATTAATTACAAAATTTTGTTGTTGATTGTTATTTAGATATAATAATAATAATAATGAATACTAATTTAAAACTTTGTTTTTCCTAGAAATCAATATATAAACTTTTATTTTTATATTATAATTTAATTTATAAGTTATATATATATATATATATATATATATAATACAGAATATAATATGTTATTTTTACATATATGACACAAATATTAAACATATAAATATATAACTTATTTATTAATCAATGTTAAAAATATTTAATATAATTTGTTTTTATCTATTGTATTGATTAAAAAGCTAGAATTTTTCCTTATTATTATTTTTATTGACACTTTTATAAGTAATTTTATCATTTTGTAAATATCATATGATTTAATCTTAGATATAAATATTAATACCTTAAAAATTTTAATTTATTATTTTTTATATATAAACTGTATATATTATAAAAACAAATATCTGATAATTTGTATTTTTTTAAAAAAATATGTTTAGTTTATTGTGATAAATATGTGATATTAAAAAAATATTTTTTTTGAACAATTATTGTATTAATTATAAGCCATTTAATAATATGTTGTTTACAAACATATTTTTAAGGTATAACAATTTTTTTATTTGTTTATTTGCTAATAAAATAATTATATAGATCTCAATGCGATTTTCATGAGTGATGATAATATTTGTATCTGTGTTTTGGTTTGTTTTTTTGTGAGACATACAAAAACATCTCAATAATTGTTTGTCTCATTTATATAATTCAAAATAATAGTAATAATAAAAGATATTCAATCAATGACCCAAACCTATCAGTAATACTGTAATAATAATAATAATAATACTATTTTTTGGGTTTCAGCTAATGTTTTGTACATAAGAAGAAAAAACATTTTGTGATAAAATCAGTATATATTTGGTAATAGCGTTTGGGTCACAAAAAAAGTTTTTTTTATATCCAACCGTTTTATGTATGACTTATGCAATTGCATAGACAAGACATACCAGAAATCTCTCTCTCTCTCTCTCTTAAAAAACTATTTTTATAGCCATTAAAGTGATGTCAATGGGAGAGACAGTTGGAGAGGTATATTGCGGTGACCATTATTCTATGGAAAACAACGCCCGGAGCCAAATAAAGCTTTAAATTTTAAAACTATACACATAGTTATTTAGTGACTCTGGTATATGTTGGCACAGGTATGTATGTATGTATGTATGTGTATGTGTGTACAGTGCACTGTCTGTGTTAACCTTGAAAAAAGATGAGGTATAGTATAGTATAGTGAGTGCACACCTGTATTGTGCGCATTAATATTAACTTTTTGGTTGTGAAGAGAGAGAGAGAGAGTATAGACACCTAAGCCCTGAGCTGTTAAGCTTAAGCCCAACTCTAAACACAACACGACTAATAACTATTGCAATAGAAATGTATTTTCAAAAATAAATTGCTATTTCTTTTCTCTCAGCGATTCCTAAACAATATTCAGTCAAAAATCTGAAGTACGACTACAGTATACACACAGTACTACCTGTGCTTAACATTCAGTTAGATTGAAGAGAGCCTAAGGCATGTTGAGAGCTCTCTGCTATTATTATACAGTGAAAGATAGAGAGAGAGAGAGAGAGAGAGAGAGAGWCAGTGTTTAAGTTGAGCACTATCTTCATCACAGCATATCATAGGGAAAGGCAGAGAGTGTGAGTTCAGCTGAAGAGCCAATCACTGGTATGAATGTTGGCTGAGAGGAGACGAGGCGTTCCTATGTTAGGCATTCGGCAATCAGTGCACTGACAGCAGTGCAGGTGAAACGGGGGGCTAACAGTGCCACTCAACAGGGGATTCCATACTATTATATAGGCTTTAAAGCAGAACAGGCACTTCTGGCACCTGTATATCAACCCCTGTTGCATGTATTTTGGATGTATGTAAGGTGTGCAATGGTATCCAATAAAATAGCTGATCTCTCCCCTCGGCATAGGGAGGGATACTTCTGAGTTGTTTCGCCATTACCTGAGCCATAGTATGGCGTTTGTGATCACATACTCAACAATAGGTTAAATCCGTTTTTCGGACACTAATAATCAAAGTTGCGGTAAAAGTGGTCTTTCAAAGTGTTTTAACGAGAAAAACGACTCCAAACTCATAGAACAGGAGTACAGGGCGGGCACTACTTGTGCGCTACCATACTCTCCCAAAAACGGTAATTACAATTATATTGATATTACCCGACCATTGAATATTTGTGTGGACACGTGTCTAAAAAAAATAAATAATGTCCAATCGATATATTTGTCGCCCGCGATGACCATCTGTGCCACTGACAGCCCGAACCAAAGTGACACATCATAAGTGAGAGCTGAGTCCAGTGACAGCTGCCAACAACACACACACATACACTCATACATACCAAAGCATAGGTATGCTCAACATAAGCGAATCGACAGAAGAGTCACCGCAAACCAATGGATCAGTTCAAGGACTGCATCAGAGAAATGATTACTACAAACTTCCAGTTGTTGTCGACGGATCCACTAAAGGCATAGCTCTAATCACAACCGATACCAAAGTTGATGGATCATTACAAGAGATGGTCTGGAGGTAAATGATCTCAAATTATTTTTATAACAATTAGTATTATAACATAAAATTGAATGTCATTATTATTATTGTGATTATTGAAAAAAATTGTATATAATTTATATTTCAATATATATTTAACTATACAGTGCCGTTCCCGTGACAGCTGTCAATACGGCCGAACTTGTGGCCAACGCAACAATAGTAACGGCCAATAGTTCGCCAAACGGCTCGTCATCGGCCCAACAGTCCGACGAAGAACACCATTTGGGACATTCAAGTCCTATTAACGGCAATATATCGCCGCTCAGACAACAACAACACACACCGCCGGAAAAGACACGCCAACTGATAGTTTCGTCTTCGGGTGCAATCATGACAAATGGTGACTCAACTCCTCAGACAATTATTGTGACCTCTGGAGATACCAATCATAACAATAATAATATTAACCATCATAATAACAACAACAATACAATATTGCATACGAATGATGTGAATATCAAATCGGAACCATTGGATCCGTTACCGCCGGTTGCATCGCCCGTACAAATGGTGGACGTAATTGCCACCGGCGGAGTCGACCGAAATCGTGAACTGGAACCGTCACCTCCCGCTACTGTCATATCGCTGGCACCGGCACAGCCCTATCAGCCGGGAACTACACAACTGACATTTGCGGCGCCTGCCTATGATATCACAGGAACCGGACAATACACTGTACAGGTAAGGAACGGACCACCACTTGTGTGGATAACTTTTATTTGTTACAATTACATCATATTTAGCATAGTTTCGGACTCAATAAAATAAGATATACAATAATAATAATAATAACAACAACAAAAAATTACAGATATTTAGAGTAAAATCCTGAATAGCATAGCTCGGGTAGATTGAGAGAGAACAGGTGACTCCTCTATTGAAAGTTGAAAACCGAGAAATTTGAGGTTTTTGTTCAGTCAATAGTATTACTACAAGTTTTTATTATATATATTTGTATTATATTACACATACACTATACTATACTATACAATAACAACAACACAAGAATAGGATAAAAAAAATGTGTGACTCTATTGACTCTATTGTGTAAATGCATTGCTTCGTACAACAGGTGAATACAGGTGTGTCACCACAGTATGCAACTGTAACGCCGGCCACCAATGCCATGTCCAATGGCGGCACCGTCTACTTGACCACAACCGACTACATCACCTACAGGGACTACTATCCGACAACATCGACCACCACATCAGTCAACAACAGTGATCAGTATCAAACAGTGCGCCAACATCTGAGCACAACACCGACGGCCACCTATACGACAGCAGCTGATACCGAAACGACATCGTTTCTCGACCGATACTTAAGACAACAGCCGGTCACAACTACCAGTTCTAACGGCAATGCTACTTACAAGGCCACAATTCATGGCCTAACTGTCGACCTACCCTCACCTGACAGTGGCATTGGAGACACTACTATCACTCCCAGACAAGAGAATGGTACTCTCCCACAGGTCAGTCAGGTAAGCGCATACATCTATTAATATTATTATTATTATTGCCCATTCCCCCCCTCTCATCTAGCTATCTGTCTATCTATATATATACATATATATATATATATATATATATATATATATAATTGTCTAGTTAACTTTTATTATTGACCCCAATAAATATTTATATATTATTACCGATTTTAATCTAGAAATTTTTAAATACAATATATATATATATATATATATTTAATATGAAAAATATCCTATAAATCATATACTGTTTTTTTTGTGTGGAAATTTATAAAAATATACACTACTTTGGCATTTATTTTATCAATTAAAAAAACTATAAATACTACACATTTGCTTTTATTAGGCCAATGTGTATATATGATATAGTATAGTAATTGTTGATGTATTATATTTATACACAAAAAAGTGTCGGTTATTTAGCATATATACTATATATGACAAACACATATACATACACACAGTTGATGGTCACTCTCTGTCTCATTTTAATCACACATCAAGTGTTTTAATATATATATATATTAAATCTTTTGTTTACATCCCATAACAATCATAATACGAGTTCAACATTTAAAACCCGTTTTGTGTGTGTGTGTGGAGTGTTGTTGTTATTTTACATTTTTTATATTTTACTTTTTTTATCCATTAGAAACCCTACCAAACCATATACATAGATATTATAGTATTATACAATAACATTAAATTATTCAATGCATTCAATGAATTTCAATGGTATTTTTTCAATTGGGACTTACATTTGATTTTATTATATTTTTAAAAAACACATCATTTGCTTGCATTAGCTTTCAATAGCTGTGAGGATATAAATAAATTTATTTTATTTTTTAAAACAAAAATGTTATTTTATTATTTTAATGCTACTACCTGTGCYCATTAATTATTTATTATAATTATGAATATACTGTATATATATATATAATAGACAAATAATAGATTGTTAAAAAATTACTGTATTTGTTTGAATTTGATTGCTTTTGAAATTTAATTTTTTTATTTAACATATTAATACATAGATATTATTAAACAATATAGACGACTACTACTTAAGTGATTACAGTTAATATTTTCTCATTGCCATTGCTTTTTTAATATCACTTAATATTATGTATTAAGTATACTGTGTATATAAGTTTATATATTAAAAAAACCAAAACTATCAACAGTTTTAAAATATCTAATAAATAATATTTATTATATTTATACAGTATATATAATATATGGCCTAAATTTAGAAATTTTATGTTATAGTAGTCTATAATTATTTATTAAATTGATCCATACATTGGTCTGTATTTTTAGATTATAATAGGATTTAAATGGTTTTTTGTTTGTATATCAAAAAAAAAAAAATTTGTTTCTTCAAAATTAGTAAATCTTATTTTTTTACTAATGATTTTTCAAAAATTTTTGTGTCTCTTTAAAAAAGCTACTTTTCTCTAATGAATTAATTATATTTTTTGTCATTTATTTGAAACCATTAGATATATGTTTTAAGAAAATTATTGCGATAAATTTTCGTTTCTATTTTTAATGGTTTTATTGATAAAACAAAACTTATGAGCCCTAAGACAACATATATATATATATATATATAAAAAAATTTGAAATTTTTTTTTGCCGTCAAGATGTCGGTTATAAGCGACAACACTGTACTGTAAATTATTATAAGGTATACATATATTATGCGACAAAACAGATATCAATTGCATTTTCATTTGAAAAATACTGTTAAACTATAAAATATTTTTCTTAACTTTTTTTTAATTCAGAGACTATAAATCCTATTGAGATTCAAATCTTTTATATATATATATATATGTAGTTATAAATAGTTATTTCTTCACTAAAAAATACATAAATAAATTTTTTGTTGCAATCTATCTGTGATTACGTGATCACATCATAACATACACACACAAAGCCATTATCCATCAGTAGTCGATGTGTTGTAATGTATATGTAATCCACTGAGTATTATAAAAGTATATATACTAATGGATGCCATAATAAGTAGATTTGAGTTCAGTGCCCCAGGAAACTGATACCTCCTTTTTTCAAATATATCTATATGTAATACCTGTGCACTTGAAAAAATCTTAACTAATATTTTATTATAAGAGATTCACAGAATATTAATTATATTCAATTCTCTTAATTATATTTTTCCTCTCTCTCTCTCTCTCTCTCTCTCTCTCTCTCTCTCTCTCTCTCTCTCTCTCTCTCTCTCTCTCTACAGTATTATATATATATACATAAATTAGTATATATTTTGAAAATAAGTTAGTATATAAAAAAATTTCAAGAAAAACCGAAAAAAGTATTTTTAAAATTTATATATTTGTATCATTTTTTTGTTTTGTTTTTTAACAAAATTATTAATTTTTCCAAATTAATTTACCTATTAAAATTTACTGTATTTAAAAAGTATTTTATTTTAATTTTTTATTTGTTAGTAATAACAGTGCTAACATATTAAAAAAAAATATTTTTTGTTAAACATAATTCTATATTTAAAAATTTGAAACAAATAAAATAAAATCTTTATAAAAAATCTAATGTACTGTAAATATTCGTCAATTACTTTATGTGGCAGTGATTATAAATTAGTAAACAATTTTTATTATATTATTATTATTATTAATTTTTTATATTATTAATTATTTCATTGAGTGCTAAAACATTAAGTAAACACTAGGATTGTGACCTTAAAATTGAATTCATTATCGAGTCTATTGACTTCCGCAGAGAGGAGTCATCTGAATATATTAGATATAATTCATAATAAAAAAGCTATTTATATATATAAATATATAAGATCTGAGGTCAGCTCCTAATAAAAAAAATACAATTTTTAAATTCAATTTTATTATTTAATATTAATTTCTTTGTATTAATAATAAGTCGGTAATACTTTTATTTGTTTGTTATTTTTTAATAATTTTTTCACTAGTTGTGTGTGTTTTGAATACATTGTTTTGCTAAATATTATTCTCTAAATTAATCCAAACAAAAAAAATATGAATATATTTTTGTATATTTAATAGTAAGATAATACTTAGTATTAAATTAATTTATTTATCTTTATTTAGTTCTCTTTTTTTTGTGTATTTTATTTAGCATAAGTTTTTTATATAAGTTATTTGAGACATATATTATTAACATTTAAGTTTATTTTAAATTTCATTTAGTAGCTGTAAATTATATTTTGACATTAATTTAAATTTTAATTATTAAAATTTATTTAAGCTGTTATTATATGTTTGATTTTTTAAAAATTTATTTATTTTAGTTTATAATAAAAAGTAATTAAGGTCCTGACTTATTTTATTACATACTATTGCCCATTAAGATATAATTTTTATCGCATATATATATATATAATATTATATTTTTTAATTTTAATATTATTGAAATAATTATTTTTTGCCAATATATATATATTATATTTAATGTTAGGGTTATTATAATTTAGATAATGGATAACTAGTTAAAACAGTTTGAAACTTTCCTAATAATGTTATTTATACTTTTAGATTATAGCAATAATTATTATTATCTATGTTATATAAGTAAATTTGTAATACAATAATAATAATAATAATAGTATTATTATTATTTTTCAATCTCAATATTTTTGTTATATAATATAACTTAAATTCTCCCAATTTTATTTATTTATTACATATGAACCATTTATAACTTATTTTTTAGTTTGAAATATAAAATATAAATGAATATTAAAGTTATTTTTTGTTGAAAATTTTAAAAGATACTGTCATCTCTAAATACAAATATTTTTTTAAGTAAAAAATAAGATATATTTGGAAAAAATTAATGATATTTCAGTCAATTTTGGTTGATGTTTAGTGTAACAAATCATATATTTATAAATATATATATATTTACAAATGCCAAATAACAATAATATTATATAAAAGTTTTATTTAAATTATTACTATTTTTGTTGTTGTTATCTATCATTTTTATTTTCATGACAATAGTCCCGTGTTGTTGTTGTTATGCGTTTTTATAATATCCTTAACGTTAATACTATTTGATGTCTACATCTAATTATTTATAAATTTATATATATTTATAAATATATAAAGCTTTTTCTCATTGATTATTAAACATATATATACCCACTATATCATATATATATATAAATTATATATATATGTATATAATTCACAAACGCATGAAAGAAACGAGAGTTTAATGTCCCTGAAGTACACCTGAAGTGAAGGCATGCCTTATATTTATATATATTTATATACCTTATATGTACTGCAATAGCCGTTTTTCAGATGCTTTTTTGATAAGGGATGGACAGCATTTTGTGTATGTATGTGTGTGTATATATATATTTAGTTATACGCTTATGTATTGATATGGAGGTGCAGCCTATGCCTTAAATTAGCAAAATGTTTGAGGGCTTTGACCACTTTTTTCATCCTTTCAAGAAAACGTTTGGTTCACTATCTCATGCTATGAGCGGTTGCGCAATGAACTCATGAATGCCGGTGTTATCGCATATATAATAATATTATATATATATAATGTTTTGTCTATATATATATATATATATAACTATCTATGTATTGCTATTAAAAGCATTATATACACACTGGAGGGGCTCTTTCGGGGCTTAGGGGCTGTTGGAGTGAAGAGATGGGGGTCGACATCGGTTAGGTGGGGGCCGACACAAACCAGTTCAATTAGGCTCTCAAACAGTCACTACACTCTGTAACATATAAATATACATTTACCTGTATATATATATATATATATATATATATATATTATTCACACAACACATTATTCAACACATATAAGCACTTGACTTGACTTTTGAAGTAAAATATATATAAAAATCTTTTCATCTAAACAACAGTCCATTCACTGCCTTTAAGAATGAGATTTAAGTTTTTTTATTCATTCAATTCACTAAATGTTTAGAAAAAAAACATAAATTGGCATAAATTGACCATTTATTCACCATATATTCATCGTCTATTTAAGCAATTTAAGCTAGCACATATTTTATTTCCATATATGTATATAATATAATGTTTATAAATAACTTAAAAATAAAAATGTTTATGCATTTTTGTTTTCACCAATTATACAATCTATTATATTATACTATAAAATTAGTTTATTTTCTTTTATTTAGTATATATTAAGTAAAACAAAATAACTAAAGATATTATTTAGTATATGTAGAAAAAAGTATTAGTAATTTTTATTTTATTTATTACTTAGCAATAAATTTAACAATTATATATATTTTTTAATGCCTTCCTTGAGTTTTTTATTATAATCAATTCATTTAGAAATTATCTAAATTTAAAGTTTATTTATTTAATTAATTTTTACATTTATTGATATTATCAGTATAATTGATATATTTATTATATTAATGAATGCGATATTTTGTATAAAATAAAGTAATAATAATTTTAGCCAAATTATTGTAAAATTATCATTTATTAATTTAAAAAAGTAATTAATATTTATATCATTTTTTCAAAATTTATTGGTTCATATTATAGTTAACATTTTTTTTAGATAAATAATTAAATTTTCTCATTTAATAAAATTATTAATGTTTGACAAACATTTTGTTGTTATGTTGATGTTATTGAAATAAATATTTTTTATTTTATGATTACAAATAAACGTTTTTATATTCATAAAAATAATTTAGAAATTTCTCAACTTATTATAACAAAAAACAACTTATATATAATATATGTATATTTATAAAAAAACAGTAATTTGCCTTCAAGTGTATGTGTGTTGTTAACAATATTAGCTTAATTATAAAATTTTTAATATTTGCCAAATATTTTTTTTGTTTTGTTTTAGTTTCTTTAAAAACATTAAGACATTATGATAATAATTTTAGAATATTTTTAAATAAATTTCTAAACAAATAGCTGCAAATACTTTTTTGAAAAAAATAAAAAAAAAACAATAATTTAATTTAAAAGTTTATTTGTTATCTGCTAAATATATTTATAGAAATATCTATGCATTTCCTAAAAAAAAGTTTTATAACTTAATACATCATATACACTAAAAACATAATCTAATTTCGTATCGTAAAAATATTGATATCATTAACTTTAAACTTTAATAACTTTTTTATTTTTTAACTTAAATAAACAAATTTGATATCAAATAATAGAGTAATAAATCACAATTAAATTGATATACTAGATGGTCAAAACAATGGTTTAAATAACAAAATATATCAAGGTAAAGTTATAGGTGTTAATAATTTAGGTACAAAAATTATTTTCGTGTTTTTAAAACGCGCGTGATTTCAGACACATTGTTGGGACCAATTGATTCCAATGCATTGTTATTAATTTGAATACACGTAAATAAACAGTAAATGCAGTGATTATCATAAAAATGGTTAAAATACAAGAATTTTCAGATGCAATTCGCCAACAAATGTATGATATGAGAGTCAGCACCGGAAAGTCATACGCAAAAATAGCGGAACTGTTTACAACAACTGATAATACTGTCCGATCAATTGTAAAGAAAGTCGAAAAGTACGGGACAGTTAGAAATCTCGCAAGAAGTGGTCGAAAAAGATGTACCAGTGCTAAACAGGACAGGATATTGAGTCGAATTGTGGCAAAAAATAAGAAGTTGACCACCGATGAGATTAAGGAAGAGTTGGCCGCCAGAAACATTTTGTGTCACCGAAACACTATTAGACACCGGATTCAAGAAATGGGTTATTACAGTGGTATTGCGCGAAGACGTCCAATGATAAGCCTAACAAATCAGAGAAAACGATTAGACTTTGCACGAAAGTACATCCGGATGCCTATGTCATACTGGAGGAAGGTCTTGTGGTCAGATGAGTCAAAATTTGAGATTATTAGTACTAAACGTCGCCAACGAGTGTTTAAAAAGAGAGGCGAAAGCATTAATCCTGATAATATATGTCCAACTGTGAAGCACTCGAAATCAGTTATGGTATTGTATGACAGGCCAGGGAGTTGGCCATTTGGTCGAAATTCCATCAACTATGGACCGCTACATTTACGTTAACGATATTTTGACCCCACATTTGCTTCAGAGTGCCAGAGATCTACAAATAAGCGATGATTTTTTATTTCAAGCGGACAACGACCCAAAGCACACATCAAAATTGGCAAAGAAATGGTTGTCTGACAATCAAATTGAGACACTTGAGTGGCCGCCACAGAGCCCTATAATATTATTGAACATCTATGGGATGAATTGGACAGACGTGTGCCAAAGAGCGAAAGAAAAAGTTTTTCTGCGTTTAAAGAGTCGTTATTTAATGTCTGGAAAAATATACCTGAAGAAGTCACAGAAAAGCTGATCCAAAGTGTTCCAAGAAGATTGCAGGCTGTGATTGATGCCAACGGAGGCAATACTCGATATTAATATTGTTTTTACTAAATTAATAGCTTTATTTTGTTAATAATATTTAAAGTTTTGATTTCACGAAAATACTTTTTGTACATAACTTTTTTTACCATTTCTTACTTCTTATGCTTTTTTATAGATAATATGATAATTAATGCAATTTTATTTATTGACTTATAAACTTTGAAAAGTGTTCTTTCATTTGATATCAAATTTGTTTATTTAAGTTAAAAAATAAAAAAGTTATTAAAGTTCAAAGTTAATGATATCAATATTTTTGCGATACGAAATTAAATTATGTTTGCAGTGTATCTATATATCTTTTATTTTTTTCCTTAATTAATTACATAACATTTGACTTAAAGCTTTTTTTCGCTATAGATTAATATTTATAAGTTTTTTTCTACATAATATATTTGACTTTTAGAAAAATGTCTATTGTATTCAAAAAACAATATATAACTTATATTATATTATATATATTATTAGATATACTGTATGTTATTATTATAAATAAGCATTTGTTGAACCATTTGCCAAACATAATGTACAGTCCTTTTCATAGCACAGCATGTATTTGCTCTCTCTTTCTCTTGAAATGTCTGAAAAAATATATATATATGACTTATGTCTGTAATACCGACACTAATGATCTTTTATGTTAAAGAATTTTTTTTAACATAAAATGTATGACTTTTTTTTAGTTAGTTAGTCATCGATTTTCATACCTATTATCCTACACTAAATATAATGTATCGATTATTTAAAATGTCATTAAAATAATATTTATTTTTTTGTTATATTTGTTTGTTTCGGTGGACAGATATTTGATTACACAGAGCTGTCTCAGGCACAGGCAATACAGATACCGGTCGGTTCGCCAATCAATCAAAGCCAGAGCAGTACAGTGTCCAATACGTCGACTGTATCGACACCGGCCGTGATTACCAAGGGTTCGGGCGGTCGCCGATCGTGGCATGAATATGGACGCAACTCAGAGATCGACAAAATTCAAATACCAAAAATGTATGATTTATATCTAAATAGAAATTTATTAAATACTCTTCAATATGATTTAAAAAATAAACTAAATAATTAATAAAACTATTTATCTTATTTAAATGATAGCAATCATTATTTTTTTGGAGATATAAAAAATAATTTTTTTAAATGCATACAAATAACACACATCTACATAATATATATATAATATAATATATACATAATATATATATACAGTATATAAACTTTTTTTCTGGATATTTAATATACAGCCATAAGATGTTTGTTTCTGGCATTTATTTGGGAGAAAACTTTATCCTAAAAGCAAACCATAGATATATTTATTATAAGTTATATATGACATAAGTTATCGTGTTTTTAGCCCAAAGGCTATGCCAACGACCATAAAGTTGTTTGTCTTGACATTTAAAAAAAAAAGTTTAAAAGATTTGTTTTCAATGTTTTTTAGCAATATTTAGTATTTTATTTTTTTGTTAGACAAATAAGAGCCAAACAATCTAAATTTATACATAATAATTATAATATGACTAGTAATGTGATAATATAATAAATTTGCTAAAATTATGTTAAACAATAATAGCAAAAAAAAGACCATAGATTTAGAGATTTAAAGATTTTTGTTTTTTAACATATTTTTTACATAACACATTTAAATACAATATATTTATATAAACAGTATATAACATTAATTGATATTATTGTCTAAATCATCAAAAAAAGATTCTAATATTAAAAACATAATTATTATAATATTAGATTTTAATCATTATTGGAAAATGGCACAAATATAACTGCATTTATTAATATTAAAATATGTTTACAAATAAATACATGAATATATAAATAGAGATTTTGTTGAAATAATTTACAAAATTTATGACTTTTAAATTGGCAATTATTTTCGGTCATTAATTTATTTTAGATTTTATTATTATTATTAAATTATTTATCTAACAAGTTATAAATATAAGCATAACAAATATACATAAATAATAATAATAATAAATAAATAAACAAATTATCTACACTTAACATTCAGACACTCGGACGTTGGTTTCAAGTACTACTTGGAATCGCCTATATCTACGAGTCAGCGCCGGGAGGACGATAGGGTCACATACATAAACAAAGGCCAGTTTTATGGCATCTCATTGGAGTACATCCCGGATAACGACAAACCGCTCAAAAGTGCCACCGTTAAGGTTTGGAYAACAAYCCGCTCTCTATCTATCTATATCTTTGATCACTTCCATCAACTTGTTATCTCTGATCCCAACTAATCAAASCATTGTTTGTCCCGATTATTATTATTATTGCAGTCACTTATAATGCTGGTGTTTCGCGAAGAGAAACTGCACGACGAAGAGATCAAGGCCTGGCAGTTCTGGCACAGTCGACARCATAGTGTCAAACAGCGCATAATGGACGCCGACACGAAAAATTCGGCCGGAATTGTCGGACCCATCGAAGAGATCACACACAATGCCATCGCCTTCTACTGGAATCCATTGGAAGGGCCGGCAAAAGTCAATGTTGCCGTCCAATGTCTTAGCACTGACTTTAGCAATCAAAAAGGAGTTAAAGTAATAATAATAATAATAATTAAACAACAAAATCTTGAAACAAGAATTTAATATTAGTATCTATTATTAATAACTATATTTAGGGTCTTCCACTGCACCTACAAATTGACACATTTGACGACTTTCGGGAGGGAAGCACACCTGTCCATCGGGCTTACTGTCAGATCAAAGTGTTCTGTGATAAGGTATACAATCAATAATAATAATAAATTAGGTTTTTTAAAAAGTTTATTATTATTATTATTAACTSAATTATCATCTCTCATAAAAAGGGCGCCGAAAGGAAAACACGAGACGAAGAGCGAAGAGCTGCCAAACGAAAACTGTCTGCAACTGGAAGTGAGTCTTCTTCTTCAGAATTTTATATCTAATTTTGAATTATATTTTTTTTAATTGAAATATGTATTCGTTTTTTTTCATTTTATTTTTTTGTTTAATTATTATTGACGGTGTCTCAGATGGTCGCAAAAAGATGGAGGAGATGTATCATCCGACGTGCGAACGGTCAGAGTTTTACTCAATGAGTGACCTCATGAAACCACCGGTGCTTTTCACGCCGAGCGACGACATCGAAAAAGTAGTTTAGTACACATTAAATACCAACTGTCCATTAGATCACCCATTAATTGTATTGTCTTTTACCATTATTTTTCATTAGATCACAACAGCCGACATTAACTTCTACGGCGGACACAATTCAAACGATATGTCGTCCACTGATTATGAAACTGATTCACAATTGCCGTCCATAGCGGCGCCTACTATCGCAACAATAACCGCTAACATAGCACAGGCCGGGTATGATTCAGAGTACGAAAGATTTTTATTATCATTTTWWWAAAAAAATATTATGACTTCAAATAAGAGATGAATGAAATTTAWTTTTTTTTTTTGGCCACCAATCAGACGTGTCGAACGAACAGTTGATCCGTTATCGGCGTCACTGGAAATGGCTATAACTTGTCCGCCAAAGAAAATCAAATTAGAAAGATATCCAAACACCAGTGAAAGAGGTATTTTACCATAAAATATATGAGAGATTTTTAAACCAAAAAAAATTATTATTTAATATAATTATTGTTTTTTAATTATTAAAAAAAAGATTTGTTTTTCTCAACAGTTCTTTTGTATGCCAAACAAGAAAACGAAGAGATCTTCCATCCGTTGCATTTAGTGCCGCCGTCTTTAGTCGGATTAGCTCTCGCTGTATGTCTTCAACATTAATATAACATGACTTTCCCTCCTATCTCTCTCCTCTACCCCTCATTTGACATGAGTTCCCACAATTAGTTTCATATTATAATTGAGTCTCATTTTATTTTTTTATTTATTTATATATATTAATTGAAAATAGATTGAAAATAAGTACAAACTGGAAGCTAAAAATATCAGAAATATTTACAAACGATGTAAAAAAGGGTAAGAATTTGTTATTTGTTATTATCCTTAAAATCTTGAAATTACTAACAAATTTTCCAAATTTTTTTACTTTTTAATAACGCAAACTTTGAATTATAAAAGTATGCTTTTGTTTGTTGTTTAACTATATATTATTGAGTAAATGATAATAATTGATAATAATTTATTGTATTATTTTTTTATACAATWTGTCACAGAATTACCGTACAGATGGACGACGATATGGTTAAACATTATTCACATGAAGACACAGTTTTGCTTGAAGTCCATCAAATAGATGAGGAAACACACGATATAACACTCGTTGAATTTGATATCAACTAAAAAAAAATATATGATATTTTGTTATTTAAATTATTTTTTTAACAATTACTATATATATATATTTAAATATATGAATGGGTCTGAAGATGATGTTGTTGTGGACACAACTTTAGGCTAAATCGCTGCCAAATTTATAGAGAAACAAAAAAAATAAGTGGAACTTGAATCTCATCCATAATAATAATAATAATTTAAATTAATTAATAGTAATAATTATTAATGAAATATCAACTACTTATATACAGTATATATATAAATATATATATAAATTATAATATTATGCAAGACTTAGAACCGGTGTTTAACGGTAATCAGTGTCATCCTCGTCGTCGTTGTTGTCTCACTAGTGGATCAAATAAATCAATCAGTGATTGATTGATTGATAAGTGACTTATCTTTCTCTATATATAATATATATTATATTCTCAAAATGAGATGCAATTTTTTTTTGGAAATCATATTTATATATATTATTATTATTATTACAATATTTTTTGTTTTGTTTTTTTAATTTAAAAACATAAACGTGTTTCGAAAATAGCAATAATTCACCCCAAAAATCGAAAAAATTCATTCATCAATATATGTCAAAAAAAATCCCAATCAAAAAGTATATATACATAAACATATTATTATTATTATTATTTGTGGTATTTATATATATATATATATATAGTTATATAAATTATATGTCAAAGTTATCACATTTTTTTCGTATACATTTAAACTCTAATTATTACATAATTTATTTCTACTCTTTTTTGTCATATTTTTATGATCAATGAAACGATACTCAGATTTATATATAAAAAAAATCTAAACATAAAACTCATAAATTATTGCAGCTATTCTTTCAATTGATTAATCAATTTATTTGACTTAAACCAAGTATTTAAAGCCTTAAGAAAATCATAGTTTTTTTTATTATTAATTTATAAAACAAAAGTCAATTGAAAAATGTTTTTCTCATCCAATCTTATGATTCATAAGATGTCTTTACAAACAAATATATGTTTATTTAAAAAAAATTCACGAATTATTTTGATATTTATTGAGTCATGAATTTCAAACACTAGATATCAATCACTGAAAAATTTATTTCATAATTAAATTAATTTTCAAAAAGTTTTTTTCCAAATATATTTTTAAATTTTTAATTTATCTAATTTTAGCTCAATTTTCATACAAAGAAAGTATACATTCCTTGACATTAAATAACAAATTTTTTAAACAAACATTAACTTAAAAAATAATAATCTATTAATTGACAAATTATTTGCTCAAAACAATACAAAATGTATAATAAATTGTTATATAATTTATTTGTTTAAAAATTGTTTTATACTTGATAACTTTTTAATTCATAATTTTTTTTATTTATAAAATTAATGATTAAAGTAAAATTTCAATTCATTATTAATTTAAAATATATCACATATGAGTTTAACTCAACTTAATTACAACACGTATTTGTTGTTGAAAAAAATTAAATTTAATCTCATTATTTTGAAATACAAAATGTAATTTACATCTACTATTTATATGAAATTGTTATTATTATTATTATTATTAAATGCAATTTATTGGTTGTGCCAAATAAGACATTCCTCTCTTTTGAATTAATTTTTTTTWTTTGAAAAACTAATTACTAAATCAAATGCTTTTTTAAATGCTCTAATTTCTTAATATTATGTGTGATAATAATAATAATAGTAATAATAATATTTTATTTTATACTTAGGGTTTATTTCATAATCTTTTATTTTTATATATATATATTATATAAATATTTTTCTCCTCAATTAAGTGATTGATATCTAGTTTTGAGTTCATTACAAAAGAAATATTATTTGAAAAAAAATAAATATAAAACAAAAATTTTCAATAAACTAATAAATCAATGCCTTTTTCAATTTGATTATTAAAGCCCTGTCCTCACCCTATCATTAATAAATAACCATTTAGTCTATGAGTATAAATTTGAGAAAATTATTTTTCCATTTAATTTAATGAATTTGAGCTTAATTTTTAATAATAAATTAGAAGAAAAATATTGTTTCCCAGTTAGTTGTGAATTAATTAAATAAGATTTTATTATTAATTATTTTTTTATATATATAAATATCAATATATGTATTAATTAATTATAATTGTAAAAACAAACTAATTAAATATGAAGGCAGGCATCTGTGCAATGGGGGTCCAAATTGGGGCTTAATTAAAAAATAAAAGAGTTTATAATTTTATTTTTTTTATTAATAAAATTAAATTATTAAATGCACTAATTATTTGGTAATTGGGTTTTTAAAAAAAATAAATAATGATGACAAATTTAACTAAAGTTTATAAATATAAAATATATATATATATTTTTTTTGTGTAAATCATAATTTTTCTATCATAATTTTTTATACTATACATTTTTTCTATAACAATAATTATTATTATATATACATTTTATAAATAAAAAGTATAAATATAAATTATATATATTATATTATATATGATATATTAAAATATTTTGATATTTATTTATAATCTACCTATTGGTAAGGAAATGTGAATTTTATTATAACTGAATCTAATTATAATTTTAATAAATAAATAAATATATATATAATTAAAAAAAATATATGAATATATTTTAAATTAAAAATATATATACATCTTAATTAATTGTATTTTTTAGATTATATGAATCGATGCAATAAAATATATAATTTATTATCATTATAACACAATTTTTACTATATATATATATTTATTATTATTAATATTATCAATGTCAATATAGTTAATATTAACTTTGTTTGTTTATAATAAAATTATTWATCTTTAAAATTAAATTCAATGTTTTAAATTATTTCTAATAAAATTTTAAATAAATTAAATTTAAATCGTTTTAAAAAAATAATTTATTTTTAAAATTTTAATTTATAAGTAAATATAAATGCATTTTATTAATCAATAATATACAATACAGTAGTATTGATGAATAATAATGTTATTTATAGATATCTTAAAAAATTGTTATCAAAAAAATTGTAGTCAAATGTCATTATTAATACATAAATAAGTTTTCGTTAAAATGATTGAAACTAATAAATACTCAAATATGTAATAAAAACATTATACTAATAAAACTTATCAATAAAAATAAAATTAAGTATTTAAACAGTATTACTAGTATTAAAGTGAGATTAAAAAAATAAACTTAAAACTTGAAAATGTAGTGTCAATTGGTATGTCTCAAAAAAACATCATAAATTAAAACAACAATTAAAACAATAATCAAATGTTTATAACATTTGACTATCGATTCAATTCATTGTATAATATTGTGAACAATATTTGATGAATCAGTTGGCGATCCCTATTGTGTTTATAGTTGAGTCCAATGCCGTCCGTTATATGTTTGATAATAACTTCATCTTCGGTCGTCAGTTGTGTTTGTGACCGAAGTTTTTCTATGTATTGCCGTTCAATGTCAGTCATATAGAAATGAAAGTAATTTTTTCGGACTAGCAGTCCATACAACTGATTGGTAGACATGTTATATGTCATGTTATTGTCGGCCAAGAAAATTAATTCACTTATCATTTGACCCATATTTTTGTTGAAATTTTTTAGTTTTGTTTTTGTCAATTTGCTAACTTCGAGATCAGAATAGTTTATTATATTCTCAATATTATCGTAACGTATGTCAGAGTCTTCAATGAGATGATTGTCAATCTGTTTAACTTCAATAGCAAAAAAGTTTCTTAAATTTGATGCAATAATTATATCGGGAATACAAAGAAATCCCAATGTTTTAGATCCGAATACACTATGTCTATCGTATGAGTGTTTGTTATCCCAATTAAGTCGTTGTTGTGATCGACAAATGAATACATTTTTGAAGCATTCCTTCTTCAACTCAAAATTCAGAACATCTTTAACAAAGGTTTCGATGTCGGCCTCATTTGGGATATACTTCTCGAGTCCAATCATTGTTGTCTCTGGAAATCGGATCTCTTTTCCGACAACTGTCTTGTTATCTAAAATAATAATTTGAAAAACAAAACATTAATAACATTGTAAATCATATAATAAATTCATTAAAAATTAACATTAATTATATGTATATAAAACACAACCAACCAATTGATGTCAATTTTTGATCAAAATGTTTGTCAACATTGATTGAAAAAACATTTGTCTTATAAATATCTATCACTTGATTTAGTGAGTGTTCATTAATGGCACTATTGATTGATTTAGTGGCAAATCTACGTATTGACAACTTTAGAAATTTTGATAAAAACATTATAAGAGAAATCAAAAACTAAATGAAAATTATAAATAATTTTTTAAAATAAAATATTTTCAGTTTAAATAAAGTATTATTTTTTAAATAGTCTAATCTCATTGGTTTTTAAAATTACTTTATATGTAATTTATATGTATAAAGACATATCAACAAAACAAACAGTAATTGACTGTCAAAATCAGTCAAAAAATAGTTTAAAATTTGTTATTAAAGTCAATATCAAATAATATCTATCAATACATATTATACCAAACTATGAATAGTTATAAAGTAAAACATAAATAATAATAAAATGTTTTATAAATATTAATATATTATAAATGTTTAAATATTTTTATGACTAAATTTGTTGAAATAAAATCAACTAATATTTAATAACTATTTGTTTTGTTTATACCTATGGGTACTACAAGTGATGGATTGTTAGCAAACAGTTTCGACTCATTTAATGGACAACAAGTAGTCCTCACACGAAGTTCACGAATGGTTTCTTCAGTCACGTAACGCGTGTTTAATAAATTGTAATCAAAATCTATTAGAAAAATAAATTATAATAATTAATATATGAATGAGTTATTTGAAATGAAAATATTATATCATTAATACCATTACTTTCAAGATTATCATATTTATTGTTATTGAAGTCATCCCTAAACTTATTGATATCCAGTGTATGTGCCAACCAATGCATACAACGGCGGTCATCATTGTTTTTGATGACTGGCCTCCCGGTGCCGGACAATGAGTGCCGCATTGATAACAATAATTGCCGTCTGAGTGTTATCGTTGGTCTCATTGTAGTTAACATTACATTCATATTATATTAATTTATATTATATTATATAAATTTTACAAAATATTTGTTTAAATAATTTTAACGATTTAGTAGTTATTTATTGACCACAAAAAAAATTGTCTATAATTTTATGATAATTTGTGTCCAAAACATGTCATTCAATGGATAATCAAAACCAAACAAAGTGTTTACAAAAATAAAACAATAGTTTTGTTTACAAACATGTGATCAATAAATAGTAATCACTTCAATAATATCAACATTTTTAGTGATAATAATAATAATTATTATTATTAGAAACTAATTGTGGATTAAATCGAATATCAATTAGTATTTCGAATGTTTTTCGTGTAAACAAAAATTCATTTAAATTGTGTGAAAAATATATCAAAACATTGCATTACATAATAATAATACTGTTATATACAGACTGTATATAACAGTACACATGTGAGGGACCGTATTATAAGTTATATTCAATAGTATTGTTTAATAAAAGGTGATAATAACTGAATGAATGATAAAAATGAAAGCTTTAGATAAATATTTTATATAAAAATTATTATTATTTTTAGTTAACATTTAGATATCACGCGATCAATAAATTTAATACAAAATTAACTGAAAACTAAAAAAATACAATTTTTTAAATCAAACTTACAGTTAGTTTTATATAACTTTATTTGAGACACAAATACTTCAAATAAAAGTATTGAAAAACTTTGGGCTAAAATTATTTTTTAAAAACAACATAAACTTCTGTAACCCTATTGATTGACAAATGTATGTCCACTTCATCTACTTCTGGTAACCGATCGGTCAGTGTTATCGGTTGCGTATCGGTTTTGCGACCAAACTTTAATTAAAAAATATATAAATCTTAATTGTATTTTTTAGATTACATGAATCGATGCAATGCATAAATCATTATAACACAATTTTTACTATATATATATATTTATTATCACTAATATATTATCAATGTCAATATAGTTAATACAGTATTAACTTTGTTTGTTTATAATAAAATTATTTATCTTTAAAATGAATTTCAATGTTTTAAGTTATTTCTAATAAATTTTAAATAAATTAAATAACTTATTTTTAAAATTTTAATTTATACAGTATAATTATAAATTATAAGTAAATATAAATGCATTTTATAAATATTTACTTTAATGATACTGATTTGTTTGTTCAGCAAAAATATCGTATATATTTATAGTATAATAAATAAATATAATAATAAATATATACTGTATATATACTGTTACTCATATAAGTTTTTTTTTATGAAATAATTGTTTTGATTCAATGAGTAAATCAACTAAAAAACAAACATATAATACTAAGTAAATCTATTTAAAACAATATATTACTAAATGATTGTGATCTATGCTAATGATTTTATAATAAATAAACAAAATTATTATTATTATTATTATTATTATTATTACTTAATAATCTATTATTAAATTGACTTCACGTGTATCTATAAAATCAATTACCATAAGTTATATACACTAGTTTACTGTAGACTTAAACATTTAGCATAATTCATATAATATTATATTAAGTAAATTATTAGAAAATCAAAGTTTATTTTATTATAATGTATTGAATTTTAGTATAAGTTTGCTAAATAAGTTTATAGTAATAATAAAAAAATATTATTTTAACTCAATATGAATTTATAGTTTTTTTATATGAACATTTAAATTATTGAAATTATTGAAATTTAAGTAAATTTTAGCTTTTTATTAGTAAATATTTCACACAAAAACCTACGCAAAATGTATGCCAATTATAATCACAGTCCTAAATCTTATAGAGATATTTTAATCGATTATACTAACCATGATATCAATGAGTTGCCAATTATCGGCAAAGACATCCACAACAACAACAACAATAGTTCGGCATTGTTTGGAAATGTCGACCACTGTTGGCATTACGTACTTAAGATGCTTGTTGTAGTTGGCTGTGTACTGGGCTGTGCCTACCAGTGCATAGCTATATTGAATCTGTTTTTCTCATTTCCCAGTATTGTCTTTGTCTATGTAACGACAATGGATCAGTTAGAGTTACCAGGAGTTACACTATGCAATAGTAATCGGTTTGTGTTTGTTTGTAATCTATTAAAATCAATTTTTGTTAATAATTTTTGTTGTTGTTATAAATTTAATATTAAATTATTATTATTATTATTGTCGTATTTTTTCTGACATCAAAGTGTAATGATGTCAAAACTGAGAGAGTTTAACAAAACTTTCGATAAAATCTGGAGTACTTATGATGACACCAATGATGTCGATGATGACAACGTTACCAAATTGGTAAATATAACCATTTATTATTTAAAAATTTAATTAATAGTTATTTTTATTTTTTTTAAAAATCCTTAAATTAAATGAATAAATTATTTAATGATATTTTTTTATAATATAATAATTTATTTTCTTAGGATAAGCAACAGATTGTCGACGACACCATCAGAGCACTGTTGAACACATTGACAGTAAATGACTTTATGAAGTTGGGTCACACCGTCGATGAATTTTTGGTTCCCGAATATTTCCGATGCGCTACCGATTCGTTTCATTTGGACGATAAATGCAGGTATTTGTTGGAAACAAAAAAAATGTTTTTTTTATTTAAGTAATTTAATAAAAATTGGTTTTTCTCTAAAAACAATAAATCATTAAAATCATAGAAAATATGCCGATATTTTGACGACTGGTCAAGAAGTTGGTAAGCAATGATATATTACTTTAAATTATATATATATATTGTTACACTTGTTATACAGTTTTAATGATTGATTTTATCGCTTCTATATTAAGGTAACTGTTGGACACTGTTTCACAAATCTAATTCATCAGATTATCTAAAAGATATGGCCATCCAATCGGGTTTATCACAGTCGCCGGTAATCAGAGGTCACGGCGAAGCCGTTGATCTCGAACTGGCCGATCAGCCCTTTCATCCGAACGAAATATTGCGGCTGAAGATCAACTTCAGCGCCGGTGAATACACTACACTCAACGACGAAGTGTTTGGCCATTTTATAGTCCACGACGAAAACCAATTGCCACCGATTCGCGAGAAAAACTTTTACATATATCCCGGTTATTACTACGAGTTTTTTATATTGAAACAATCGGATCAATTGCTACCGAAGCCGTTCGCTACCGATTGTATCGACTATTATCTAATGCCGGAAAACCAATCGCAAAGTGATGATCACAATGAATATCTGAATCATCCGCTGTCCAGAGAAAACTGTATTATCGGTTGTATGGCACAGAATACGATGGATAAGTGCAACTGTTGGCCACCGGAACTGCCATTTCTCAAGGGTTCGGCCGTTGAAGCCATTGAAAACAGTATGAAATGGTGTGATTGGAATACTGGTCCCCAATTGATCTCCAAAGAAGCCATTGCTAAGAAAGCCAACGATTCGTGGTTTAAGTTCTGTTTTACTGAACACGAAAAACAGTGCAACGATAGATGCAAATTGGACTGTCAGTTAGTATTAACCCATTCCCCACATATCATATAATTATCATTATATCAAAAACATATGTCTAATAATTTATGATTTAAAAATTAATTAATTATGTCTGTGTGTGTGTGTGTGTTCGTCTCTATATTACTAAATAGTTTGGACAGGTATACGATAATCCAACAGAAAAGGGATTGGCCGGCAAAAGAGCGCATCGTATGTCTGTTATCTAACTGTTTATTGTTACCTAACTTTCCATTTCACTCTCTCTCTCTCTCTCTCTCTCTCTCTCTATTTCTCTCTATCTATATATCTATCTATATATATGAAAACTTAGATAACAATAATAATTATCATTAAAATAGTGATTACTTATATACTGTATTATTTATTACTGGGGTGTGTATGGGGGGGGGGTGTAGGAGCACAGCAAACACGCCGATAGTCTAATGGAAAATCATAAATGTTGTTCAACAGTGTCTTTGAGATACTGGAGCGCTGAACATACTATCAACAAATATGAGTCCAAATATGAGGTTAAGTCCCCAATCATCTCATTTTAATTATTATATAAATAGTACTAATTTTTTATGTGTCCGCACTCATACCCACCCACACAACACACAGATATCGGAATTTATAGCCTATTTGGGAGGACTGTTGAGTATGTGGTTAGGCTTTTCACTGGTCCGTACCTATAATGTCATTGAGTTTGTATCGATCAGACTGTGCCAGAAAAGGGCGGAACAAAAGTTGCGATCAAAACTTGAGTCCAAACAATCCAATTATGATCATAACATCGCATATCTTCACACAACTACTACTAATGGTGTCGTCAAACCTTCAAACACACGACGAACTAATCATAAGTTACATAAATGGCATCAAATCAAACCAAAAGTGTCTAATCTATTGACACATAGACAGAGTGGTATCGGTGCTGGAGATCATCAGCACAGGGATGACAAAGATATACATAATAATCAATTAACTGTTTAATACAAAAATTCAATGATATATTCAATAATAATAATAATAATAATACTGTTTATGTAAAAACAAATTGAGAACAACAATAAAAATTGCATAAAAAATATGTTAATTCATATAAATGTCAAATGTTATGACTATTGATAGTAAAAAAAATAATAATAAATTGATTTGTTATTTAATGGTCAGATGAAAATGTGTGGTCAGAGTCATCAACAACAACGACAATAAATCATTTAATCGATTCTATTCTTTTGATTATTCAGAATAGACATCAATATCTGTATTATAGTTAAGCGTTTGGTGTGTTTGGCAGTCAAATAATGTCGGCCATAGTTTCGTAGTCATCGACCTAATCGTTGGCTTTACTATCAGTGCTGTTGTTATAAAACTTTTGGACAAATTTCTTAATTTTCTAATAAATATTTAACATTTTGTTTGTTGTTATGAACTAAAAAGTTTGCAAATATTTGACATATAATAAAAAATGATTAAAAAATTTATTACTAATTATAAGTTACATAAATGGCATCAAATCAAATGTGTCTAATCTATTGAGACATAGACAGAGTGGTATCGGTGCTGGCGATCATCAGCACAGGGATGCCAAGGATATACCTAATAATCATTTAACAGTTTATTGCAATTCAATGATGTAAATCAATAGAGTCTATAAAAGTAATAAAAATAACAAATAGAAACTCTTTAAATACTTGTTAGTATTAATATGTATTGTCAGATGTGATTACGATAATTGAAATAAAACTTATAAAAAATATAATTATATATCAATGAATGTGTTTGTCGTCAAAATGGGTGATCGGGACTATAAAAAAAAACTTAATCCACTCTTTTCTTTTCATTGTTGAGTATTGTACACAAAATTTGAATAATAATCACTCTTTGATGATATTGTCTAAAATCAAGTGACAAACCATCGGTCAAATGTTCAATAACTAAGTCATCGCATTCACTGACGTTTTGCTCTCTCACAGCGTTTATATAATCTTTTGAAATGTTTGCCACAAAAAAGTGAAAATATGTGTCGCGTACTAACACACCGTAAACATAATCGGTTGACATATTGTTGGACACATTACTATCAGCAATGAATATCATTTGTTGATACAGTTGTCCAACATTTGAGACAAACTCTTCAATTTGTGTGTCATTGTTGGTAAAAATGGTTTCAAATGGACAAAAATTACAGTTATCGACACTTTCTTCTATAAAATGTTTACAATGTTTGGCCTCAACGGTAATAAACAATCTTTTTTTATTCATGAAAACCCAATCGGGTTCACAACGAAATCCTTTTCGCTTTCCGATAAAGTTTTTACGTTTAATAAGATTATATTTATTCCATTTTATTGTCATTTTTGGACAAATTTCAAAACGTTTTCTGTTGTCATTAAAGTCTAAGAGTCGGTCAAAGATTTTTGATAAGAAAAAATCAACGTTTGCTTCTTTGATCGGCAATTCAAGCATTCCTATCGTTTTTGGTAAATCCATGTCAAACCTCTTCATCATCTTTGATATGCAATCTTTAAAACAAATAACAAAACAAATTAATAATAACAAACAAACAAACAAACAATTAATTAAATACAAATTGTATTCAAATTGATTAAAACAAACAAACCAATTGGTAATAAACTATCGCCAAAATGTTTTTTATACCAATAGTTTGTGGTTTTTACTGAACACGAAAGACAGTGCAACGATAGATGCAAATTGAACTGTCAGTTAGTATTAACCCATTCCCCACATATCATATAATTGTTATTTATATCAAAAAACATATGTCTAATAATTTATTATTTAAAAATTAATTTAATAATCTGTGTGTTTCTCCTCTATATTACTAAATAGTTTGGACAGATATACGATAATCCAACAGAAAAGGGATTGGCCGGCAAAAGAGCGTATCGTATGTCTGTTATCTAACTGTCCACTCTATATATAAAATCTTAGATAACAATAATAATTAGTTACTATTAAAATATTGATTACTTATATACTGTATTATATATTACTGGGGGTCTATATGTGGGGGAGTGTAGGAGCACAGCAAACACGCCGATAGTCTAATGGAAAATCATAAATGTTGTTCAACAGTGTCTTTGAGATACTGGAGCGCTGAACATACTATCAACAAATATGAGTCCAAATATGAGGTTAAGTCCCCAATCATAACAATTAATTAACCGTTTAATACAAAAATTCAATGATATATTCACTAATAATAATAATAATAATACTGTTTATGTAAAAACAAATTGAGAACAACAATAAAAATTGCATAAAAAATATGTTAATTCATATAAATGTCAAATGTTATGACTATTGATAGTCAAAAAAAATATTAAATAATAAAAATAATTAATTGATGTCTTATTTAATGGTCAGATGAAAATGTGTGGTCAGAGTCATCAACAACAACGACAATAAAAAACATTTAATCGATTCTATTCTTTTCATTATTCATAATAGACATCAATATCTGTATAATAGTTAAGCGGTCGGTGTGTTTGGCAAAGTCAAGGGCTAAGCCATCAGTCAAATGATTTACAATTAAGTCTTCGCTAATATTCTGTTTTCTGACACCATTTATATAATTAATGGTAACATCGGTCTGAAAAAAATGAAAATATTGATTCCGAATAAGCAGACCATAGAGACTATCTGTTGGCTCATTGTATGAGACATTTCTGTCGGACATAAAAATCATTTGTTGTAAAAGTTGTCCGACATTTGCATCAAAATTTCCGCCTTTTGACTGACAATTAGTCTCATATAATGTTTCGAACTTAAGAATCGATGTATTTTCGACACTTTGTTCAATCAATTCATCGCAATGTTTGATCTCTAAAGCCATAAAAAGCCTACTCTTCTTCTTGATAGTCATTAAGACACCATCGGGTATACAAACAAAGCCTTTTGTTTTCTTTGTAAACTTCATTAACTGTTTATTCTTTGACTCGAATTGATTCCATCGAAGTCTCACTTCAGGACGTAAGACAAAATGCTTGTTATAATCGTTGTATTTCATGAGTTCATCAAACACTTTAAACACAAAACATTTCACATCCGCTTCTTTGAGCGGCATTTCAGACATTTGGATGACCAAAGTTGACGGCAAATTCATGTCAAAGTTATTTAATGACTTTAAGACGGATTCTTAAAAAACACAAAATTTGTTAATAAAAGAAAAAGTAATAAATGACAAACAAATTGTATTCAAACAAACCAATTGATACCAAATTATGGCTAAAGTGTTGATTAATACCAACAGATTTTGGTATCAATTTGTAACTATCAATCACTTGAGTAAATGATATTTTACTGATTGAGTCATTAATTTTTGATACAAAATGACGAACAGAATTGTAAATTACATTATTAATCGCCATTACATTAAAATAATTAAATATTTAAAAATGTTTTTAAATATAAAATAAAATGCAAAACAATTTAATTTAATAAACAATAAACATTAAAAATGTATGATTTGTTGTATTATCTAAAACTTATTTATTTATTTTAAATTAAATGTCAAAAAAATTAATGCATTTCATTGGTTATATGATTATATAGTTTTATGATAAGAAATATTATAATTTGAAAACTAAATAAACTGAAGAAAATGTTTAAAACTTGAATTAAAATAATATGTTATATGAAATCAAGTTTTAATAGTTTATTATTAATACTAGTTATACTAAACTATGAACTGTATATGTTTTGAGACTTATTATAATTTTTTTTTAAAAAAGAGATAAAATAAATGATTAAAATTATTTGTTGAGAAATAAACTAAAAATTAATGACTATTTGTTTGTTTTGTTTATACCTATGGGTACTACAAGTGATGGATTGTTAGCAAACAGTTTCGACTCATTTAATGGACAACAAGTAGTCCTCACACGAAGTTCACGAATGGTTTCTTCAGTCACGTAACGCGTGTTTAATAAATTGTAATCAAAATCTATTAGAAAAATAAATTATAATAATTAATATATGAATGAGTTATTTGAAATGAAAATATTATATCATTAATACCATTACTTTCAAGATTATCATATTTATTGTTATTGAAGTCATCCCTAAACTTATTGATATCCAGTGTATGTGCCAACCAATGCATACAACGGCGGTCATCATTGTTTTTGATGACTGGCCTCCCGGTGCCGGACAATGAGTGCCGCATTGATAACAATAATTGCCGTCTGAGTGTTATCGTTGGTCTCATTGTAGTTAACATTACATTCATATTATATTAATTTATATTATATTATATAAATTTTACAAAATATTTGTTTAAATAATTTTAACGATTTAGTAGTTATTTATTGACCACAAAAAAAATTGTCTATAATTTTATGATAATTTGTGTCCAAAACATGTCATTCAATGGATAATCAAAACCAAACAAAGTGTTTACAAAAATAAAACAATAGTTTTGTTTACAAACATGTGATCAATAAATAGTAATCACTTCAATAATATCAACATTTTTAGTGATAATAATAATAATTATTATTATTAGAAACTAATTGTGGATTAAATCGAATATCAATTAGTATTTCGAATGTTTTTCGTATAAACAAAAATACGTTTTTAAATTGTGTGAAAAATATATCAAAACATTGCATTACATAATAATAATAATACTGTTATATACAGTACACATGTGAGGGACCGTATTATAAGTTATATTCAATAGTATTGTTTAATAAAAGGTAATAATAACTGAATGAATGATAAAAATGAAAGTTTTAGATAAATATTTTATATAAAAATTATTATTATTTTTAGTTAACATTTAGATATCACGCGATCAATAAATTTAATACAAAATTAACTGAAAACTAAAAAAATACAATTTTTAAAATCAAACTTACAGTTAGTTTTATATAACTTTATTTGAGACACAAATACTTCAAATAAAAGTATTGAAAAACTTTGGGCTAAAATTATTTTTTTAAAACAACATAAACTTCTGTAACCCTATTGATTGACAAATGTATGTCCACTTCATCTACTTCTGGTAACCGATCGGTCAGTGTTATCGGTTGCGTATCGGTTTTGCGACCAAACTTTAATTAAAAAATATATATAAATCTTAATTGTATTTTTTAGATTACATGAATCGATGCAATAAAATATATAATTTATTATCATTATAACACAATTTTTACTATATATATATATATTTATTATCACTAATATATTATCAATGTCAATATAGTTAATACAGTATTAACTTTG